ATGGCAGCCGCCCGGGCGCGCCGCTGGACGCCCCCGACCACACCTTCCTGCTGCCGGATATGACCAACTTCGAAGGTGAGGTCCGCGGCGCGCGTCCGGCGGATGGGCGTGGACGGGCGGCGGAGTAGGACGGCCTTGGAACTCGCCGTCTTTTAGTTACGTTTGGTTTAAACCGTATATTCTCCGATTATTTTGTATTGGAAATATTTGTGTGCTTTTCGCAACAATGTTATTTTGATTTGACGTCTTGGTATTGATTCTGGAAAATTACGTTAATAAGATGTTATTTTTTCACATATGTACAACCGACGACGCGCCTGGTGTTGAGAGTCAATCTCCAGAGAAACTCTGTTTGACCGTTCGTCCGGGAAACCTGCGTTTGTAGCGTCCGGCGCTGTCAAACTAAACCAATATGGGGCCGGGTCTGTCGAGGTTTCGGTACGGCTTCCGTGGGCCACTGCGCCCAATCCGATCGATGGCTGTCACTCGGCGCCGTCACGACCGAAGTTTCGCTTGCATAATTTGCTGCGTACTGAGACAGGCTGCGAACTTGATGCAACTTTAGTGCAAGGCTCGGTTCTTTGTGTTGAATATGCAATTGCATAATGCATATTCACCGCCATTTTAGCAATTAATGATCGAACGTCGATTATTATGTTACTGGCTAATGTGCCAATTTACACTGTACAGTTGTCCAGGTCATGAATGGTGTATGGTGGCAGAATAACGTCCAGTACAGCGATTGTTCTTATCCCCAGCACCTCAACCCCGTCTATCCGTCAACCTGTTCTCGGCGATCTGCTCCTTCGCCCTCCCTCTGTGGTTCTAAGCCCTCTCCCCGCTGCTCCGCCGCTCTAACCGCCCGGGGCGATCGCTTCCAGACGGGTTCCGCCGGTTCCTGGAGGAGGACCTGCTGGACCGCGGCACCCTGGTGTCGCTGGAACAGGCCGGCCGGCTCAACTGGTGGGCGGACGCCGGCGTGTGCCCCCGGCTCTGGCCGCTGGCCACCTCAGGTGGGTGACGTCACAGGTCACGGCGCAGGTCACAGGTCACAGGTCACCATTCAAAGTCGGTACACAGGTACGGAGTAGTCGGTTATGACTGACTAACAGGCGCTTTTCTTGAGACAAATGTTTTCACTTATTATTGCCAGCTATGGGTCCTCGTTCACGGAACTGGGTCGCGCCTCACAGGCTTAGCATAAGCTTCTCCCTATACGCGACGTTTCATAACTAAAGCTTTCCTTTCTGTGGAGCAGTTGTTTGATATGAGTTGAGTCATTGTTTGTATGCCACCTGAAGTATATGTCAGAAGGCACGCTGTTGGGCTCATCCATGGTTAACGATGCAGCAGTAAAGTGTTTGCGCTGTGAGGTTAACTTGCTTAATGGATAATATTGCGGTAATTCAGAGAAGCCAAAACATCTATGGGCGTTAATATCCCGAAGCCAGGAGTCGGGGAACAGGGTAGCCTTTCTGAAATGAAGGGTTCGCCACCAGTTCGCTAAAACAATGGTAGCATTGAATCGCCGTTGTCTGAATCGTGCAGTGAATGTCACGTTCGTTCCGGAGTCGGAGCGACGTTGTATGAATGGCCGGAGCGGACGTTTATCCGCCCCCGCCCCTAGCATTTTATTTGGCTCCATGCAGGCTCGAAATCAAAACCATCGATAAACCCCTGACGGGCCTGACGAGTGGCCTCAATGCGCGCTTTTACTTTATTTGTGCAGTATTAACATTCGCGTGTCTTTGTGCCGATCAGGCGACGGCAACTGTTTGCTGCACGCGGCCAGTCTGGGCATGTGGGGCTTCCACGACCGTCTACTGACTCTGCGGAAGGCGCTGCGCCCCTACATGACGGACGGACCGCACGTGGCCGCCTTCCGGCGCCGCTGGCGCTGGCAGGTGGCGCAGCAAAACACTGAGGCCGGTGAGCGATGAACTCGACGGGACAGTGGGACAGGATGATCCCCCTCCGGGCTGACCGTCTCGGAAATTTCTTTTTTTGTGGTGTGTGGTTGGGAGTTGGCGTGTGTCCATATGATCAGCATTCAGCACTGCGTCCGACCAATATACATAATCGCATTATTTCATGGCTGAGCGAAGGGTTATGGCTGCGCTGCTCGTGAGTTGTACCCTGACCCTTCCCTTATAACGCCTGTTGAGTATCCATCCGTTTGGTGGCAGGTCTGGTGTACTCTGAAGAGGAATGGGAGCGCGAGTGGAAAAACGTCATCACGATATCCTCCAGCGACCCGCGACAAAACGGAGACAGCGCTCAGTGCCGGTCAGTACATGACGGACGACGTGCATGTTGGGGGGAACAGCTGTGCAGCTCATTGGAGCTCAGTGTTACATTGCACTTAAATGTCAGCGGCATTTTTAACCTCAATGTCTTTATGTAGTTGATGAACAGGCTCGAACCTCTTTGTTCTCACTCCGTCAGCGGTCCTTTATCGGTCCGTGGGCGTGTGTGTTCCGTAATACCCCGCCACCGGTTTCCGTGACGTGAGCTATCTATTATTCATTGTGTACGCCGCAGTCACGCCTGCCCTTCCCCTCCCTCTGACGGTCCGGCGCCCCTCCCACCCCGTACAGTGAGGAGACCCTGAACGGCGGGCCGCCGCCGCTCTCCGTGTACGAGTCGCTGGAGGAGATCCACGTGCTGGTGTTAGCGCACATCCTCCGGCGGCCGATCGTCGTCGTCGCCGATACAACGCTAAAGGTGAGGGACCGCGGCTGGTGGGACTGGGCGTTACATCTGGCGGGTAGGTACTGAGCGGCGGCCGATACTCCACTAGGATTTAAAAACAAGATCCCTCTGATCGTGCCCCACCGAAGTGTGAAGCGTCTCTGTTTACCCTCGCAGGGACTTACACACTGAACAGTGCCCTAGACTCGCACAAAGACGTGAACACTGAACAGTTTCTATCGCTGTCCCCTCCAGGATGTGAACGGGCAGCCGCTGGCGCCCATCCCGTTCGGCGGCATCTACCTGCCGCTGGAGATCCCGCCGGCCGAGTGCCACCGCTCGCCGCTGGCGCTCGCCTTCGACGCCGGACACTTCTCGGCGCTGGTCGCCATGGCAACAGAGTCGACGCCCGTCTCCAAGGCAACCGGTGCGGCGGCGGACGGCGCTGCCGGGGACGCGGCGGCGCCCGGAGCGGCGGGAACGGAGGATACCAACGGTGAGCCAAATATTTTGCTCGTGAATGTGATTCACAATTTCGGAATCGCAGCGACCGGAGCTTATTCATGAAGGTGGAAGTGAGTGATATTCTGACGATTCTTGCGGGGAGATCGTATTAGCGCCGGTGGGCTAATTGTTCGAGTCAGATGCGTGAACGGCTGATCGTGCAGTTGGCCTGAATCCTCGATGTGAACAATGCCATTGCCTTGTGCCATTTCAGTGGGGTCGCCCCAGCCTATCCCGTCACTGTGCCCTGACTGACCTGTGTGACCGCCGCCCGTGTTCCGTGCCCGGCAGCCGTGGTGCCGGTGACAGACCCCGACGGCGTGCTGCTGCCCATCCAGTTCGTGGTCGACCCGGGCCCCGACGTGGCCTGGGGCAGCGACGAGACGGACCCGGTGACGCAGGCGCGGCTCACGCTGCAGCCGCAGCACAAGCTGAGCCTGCTGCGCGAGTACCTGGACGTGGCGGAGCTGCCGCTGCGCCGCTCGCCGCCGCCGGTGCCCCCGCGGCCCGAGCGGCCCTCCTCGGCAGCCGAGCTGACGGCGCCGGGCAGCCGCCGGCCCGACAACGCCAACCTGCAGCTGCAGACGGTCGTCAAACACATGGGCAGCATCGGCAAGTCGATGGGAAAGAAGATCCGGGAGAACCTGGGCAGTCTGACGCAGCGTGTGGGCGCGGCGCCCGGCCGGCGGCGCGGCTCGACGGGCGAGGAGCCGCCGCGGCCGGCCGCCGCCGGCTCCGCCGCCGTCGGTACGCGCTGCCACTGCCTGCTGGCAGCCCGGCTGGACACCAGCCGACAGTACGAGTACCACTCGGACATGATCAAAAACTACCTGGCGTCGGCGCGCGCGCGCTTCGCCGAGCTGGAGCGGTCGCGGCGGGAGTGCGGCTGCGGCTCGGCGCCGGGCGCGCGGCCCGAGCTGGGGCGCGCGCACGGTGTCGGCCGCTCCACGTTCTACGCCGGCCCGGACCCGGCCGAGTACGCGCGCACGCGCACCATGCCGCTGGTGCCGCGGCTCGGCCAGCCGGATCCGACGCTGTATCTGAGCCGGTCGACCTTCTACAGCGACCGGTACCCGCCGCGGCCCGGCGACGGCGGCCAGTGACACCGGCCGCCGCGGCCGCCGCCTTCACGTCAGTGTGTTCAGCCGGCCTGCACCGGGCCGGCGCCCCCGGGCCCTCCGCCGCCGCGGAGCGTGCCCTGTGTTCCTGCGCCCAGGAGCGCCTCTCTGGCTTTCAGTTGTTACGTGCAAACTGCGAACCTCCTACTCCATAGATCTGTAATGTTGCAATCAAACATGTGTTGGTCAGACCACGCGCACGATCTAGTCGTTTTACTCACAGTCTCAGCTGCAGTCTTTTAGAGCTTTGTTGGTCAGGTCTAGCTAGACACTGCGTCGGCAGGCGCGCCCGTTCGGCTGCGCCGTCTGCTCTCTCGCAGCTCTCTATGGTTGTGCCAGCCGCCGCGCCGCCCGGACCGCCTCCCCCGGCCCGAAGTGCCTGACGGCGCGCTCCGCGGCCCGCCCGGCCGTGGGCCAACGTCTTCCGGTAGTGGGCGGATTGGCGCCGCTGTCGCATCGGCAATCTCGCGTACAGAGTCTCACTAGCCACGGTGGAGGGCTGGGTCACCCCCATCGGTGACGGAGTGTTTCTACTTGTTTTAGTGTATCGCACGATATTGTGACATCGGTAATACATCAGTGAATTAGAGCTTGAGTGATGGTGCTGCGCGTTCTGTTATGAATGCTGGAGAAAATTAAGCATGAATGTTTTTCGGTACTTGATGCATATCGCCATCACTTCTTTGCTTGACGTCATGAGATGTATTCTGTGGTGACATCGGTCATAATATAATGGCCAATCGTATCGTACGTTACACCACTAAGTGGCATTTGAAACGCATGCCTGGCACGCAAGGACAATGCAATGACGAGGTAGACACTGATTTACACTTGAATGCAACCTAGCTTGCCTGTAGAAGAGCAATGATCATAACGCGATCGGCACGTCAACACTGCAGCGGCCGATCGCCACACCCGTCCCTCACAGCCGCACTGGCCGGCGTCACTCGAAAATGATCTCATTGGGCACCTCCAGTTCATCTCCGTCTCCCAGTTCCGTCATTTCGGCGGCCGGTGGCTCATCGTCGGCTCCGTCCGCGGCCAGCCGCTCGGACCGACTGCCGGCCGACTGGGCCGCCTCCGAGTCGGCGTCAGAGTCCTCGTCGCCAGACTCGCTGCTCGCCTCTCCTGACTCGCGGCCCGAGCCGTCGGCGCCGGCGGCGGCGGCCACGGCGGCCAGCCGCGCGCGCTGCCGGCGCCGCTTGGCCACCTTCCGCTCTCGGTCGCGCTGCCGGCGGTCCTCCCGGAACACGTCCCGTACCTGTTCCTCTGTGACCTCCGGGTCCGTCTTGAGCAGCTGGATGAACACTCCGCCCGGCGTGCGCCGCCGAGACCAGTTCTGTGAGACGGACAGGGGCCGAGTGAGATGGTGAGCTGACGGGTGACGATCGCACGCTGACAACATTACTCTGAGCAGTGAGCACTGAGCAGGACACTACGACAAACAGGGCTTGGCCTGTGCAAGGAATGTTGACTACCGCGTCCTTGTGCAAAACCGGAATCACAGTTGGAGATAACCACTAGCTTTAAACACAGACCTGAAAACCAGCGAAAACGGACCTAGTGTAATTGGAGCGGTGCGCGTTTTGGATTTATCGCAACCCAACGAAACAGGTACCCTCAACATAGACATGGACTCCTCGTAGTTGACGTAATGAATAGATACTTACATTGACTAGCATTCCACCGCCCTCTTCAACAGACTTGGTTTCTTCAAACAATTCGATTGATTTCTTTGTACCGATGATCTTCACTACATTTGCTGAAAAGACAGAAATCGGTGTGAGAACAGACAGACCAAAAGGCAGTTGAACGAAAAACGTCATACCCAGCGTAGCAATATCTATATCTGCTCTAAAACGAAAGGACAAAACACGCGTATCCGTAACTTGCTCGGAGCAAGAAATGTTCTTCATAAAATTATATCTTAAAAAAACTTCATTTACAAAATCCATTCCATCTAAATGCTTGATCAGCGTATTTAACTTAAAAAAAAAAACGAACAACCAAACAAAACTAACTCAAAAAGTAACATGATCCTACTCAAAGCTCCCCTATCCAGAGCGGAATACCTAATCCATGCCAGAGCGGAGAACAACCGCAGCTCACCGATTATCTCCGGTTTCTCCTCACGCAGCTTGAGTGCGATGTCGGCAGCCACCTGCTCCGTGGGACTGTCCTCGGTGACGGCCAGCGGCTCCAGCACCACCGACTCGACCTTCTTCTTCCGCCAGCCCTGGCTCGCCTGTTGGAAGCCCCTCTTGCGCGGGTTGTCGGCGGATGGCCGCTCGGGCCGCGGCGGCAGCTCGGGCAGCTGGTACGACTCCACGTCCCGCTCGACGCGCTTCCCGGAGCGCAGCTGACCGAGCCCGCCGGCCAGGTCCTCCGTGATGCCGTCCTCGGCTAGCACGGAGCTCCAGACAGCCAGACGCGCGCGCCGCGCCTGGAACTTCCGCGCCGCCTCCGCAAACTCGGCGTTATGGCCCGTGTCCATTGAGTCACCGCCGGCGGCGGCGGCGGCGGGAGTCGGGCGCGCCCGTTTCCGGCCGCCACCAGAGTCAGAGTCAGAGTCGGACGAGTCAGCGGCCGCCGGTGAGTCTGAGTCGTCACTGACGAGAGGTGGCGGCTGGATCGGCGGCGGCCGTGGCGCCACGGGACGCTCCAAGCATGTGTAAACCTGTATTTGGAAGGAAACAGTCACAGATGGTCATATCCTAAAGGATGATGGTCATGAAAAATAGGAGCTTCCATGTCAAGTGTCATGTGTACTGTCATGCTTTTAAGTTTAACAGTTTAACTTGTCATGCTTTTAAGTTTAACAGTTTAACTATCATACTGTCATGTGATGCAAGAACTCCTCACATTACCAGACAAACAATGCATTTCATGGTTTGACAAACATGCTTTATGATGAAATTTAGATGGAAAATTCGGCTAGAGAAACTAGATTTCTAGTGCAATTTATATTGTAAGTGCACTAAGCATACCGTAAAATGGGGTGTTAAGGGACAGTGGGGTGTTAAGGGACAGTTGCATGGGAAAAACTTTGAGTCATATTAACTTCCTTATTTGAGAAGGTTCAATAAAAACTTCAGTGTGGTAGTTGACACTGTTTTGCCCTTAACCATAGGACAAAATGGTATGGTTTTTCATGCAAGTGATTTGGTTCAAAAATGGATTTGAAAATCATGCTACATTTTCACAAAATTGAAACATCTCCAAAACTCTGTGTGTACCACATAAACTAGTGGGTGTACAGGGAAAATGAATGCATAGGTGTATTGTCACATGTATTACACATGTTTCCTGAAAAACTTGTGCAAATCCACCCATTCATTCATCATCCTCTTCCTCTTTTCTGGGTACATGCATATTTTGAGGTGGATAGGGACAGAGAAGAAAAAATAAAAATAATATATAAATATAATTTCATTAAGTTTTCTTTCAGTAGGCATGGAAAACACCAAATTCCACATAAAATGCTGGCAAGTTCATGCTTTTATCTCTAACATATCTTAAGTTATGTAACAAAACATCTCACACTCTCTTTTACAATGATGGGTCAATGGAGGCTGATGTAGGTAAATGTGATGTCATCATAAAAAGGCTAAAACAAAGAGGGCAACATAATGACAAGTGACTAGCTTCAACATGGGTTTTTATTGATGACAGAAGATTACTTTTTGGTTCTGTTTGCCTTATAATTAGCACATTTTCCACAAGTGTAAACTGCATTACACGTAATTGGCTAAAAAGGTCATTAGTGGTGAATGAACCTGACTTGTTTTGTGACAGAATATGCAAAACATTTCAATAAATAAATTGTGTGCCCTTCCACACCCTAATTGTGGGCATTTGATGACCATTTCTTGGAATAATATAGGTGTCCCTTAACACCCCACATTGGGGTGCTAAGGGACAGTGATGAAAAGTAATAAAAAATAATATACTTTTTTTTTTTATAAATTTAGTCCGAACCTTTTGATGGGAAGGATTCACAAGGACAGAGCCACCGCTAAGCGAAGCTTGTTGCGGTGACCATGCCCTCTACCCTCCGATCGCGCAATTCCAGTTCTATGGCAGAATTTAGAGTCCAAAGTTTAACGTGCGCACATAGCCGCGCACGGCCGGTCCCCTCACTGACTTCGCCTGGCTACGGCCTGCCACCAACCGCAATCATACCTGTCAGGAGGCCCATAAATGTCAAGCGCCCGTCGCGCTTCGAACCCGGACTGTTGTAACCGGGAACGCGTGCTCTCACCACGCGGAGTCCAACGCTCTACCAACTGAGCTTACGGGACCGGCTTAACCGGGATTTATACAGGTATAAATCTTAAAAACTTTAATGTGGCAGGCATGTAAAGCACCAAATTCCACATAAAATGCTGACAATTTGATGCTTCTATCTCCAACCCTTCTTGAGTTATGTAACAAAACACCTCAAAACTGTCTCTTAACACCCCGTTTTACAGTATTGCATTGTTCATGAATATAAACCATGAATGCATACAAACCTCTAATGTATCAGGTGCTTCCTTCAGGAGTTCTTCCTCAGACTCAATGATTTCTCCATCTTCAACCTCCATTTTGCTTCTCTGGATCTCAAGCAAGAGAAGCTTACTGTATCAGATGCCAAGAATCAGAGACACATATCCTGAAAAATGATAGTAAATTAAGTGAGTAAAATTGGTGCTCGATGGGCAATTGCTATTTCATTTGCGCCCTAACTCACCGATACTGAAGGATTGCTATTCTGGTGACTGATAAGCATTAAACTTAAATTTCACTGAACAAATCATTAATATAACATTAAATTTCATTTCATTAAATTTCACTGAACAAATCATTAATATAACGCTTGATAATGTCAGTATGCTATCTTCTTACTGAGACTGATCAGGAATCTATATTAGGGAAACTATGATCATCCAACTCGGCCAGTGCCGCGTGCTAGACACTGCCCAAGGCTATATAAATACTGCCACACTAGCAAGTGGCAATACGCCAATACTGATACCAGGATTTTGTGAGGCTGTTGAAAGCCATTTCAATTTTAAAAATGCTACAAAATAGCTCACGAAATTCCTTTTCTTTTATTAAAAAAAAAACTTTAGCCACTCCGTGAAAATGTCCAAAGCCTCTTACCATCAGCGTAAAAATCACGGTATATACAGAACCAACCAAGGCCCTATGAACTAACTGGTGAAAATAAACGTTTCGCCCGCACACAATGGATGGAAAGGCGGCAACAAGGGCTGCAATAACAAGATAATAAAAATGTGTTCAGCGGTTCCCATATTTATCTATTCGAGATGTTGATTGGTGAATGATAAACGGTTCACAGACTTTGACCAATCATGCTTCCAATAGTCTTACGCAAGCAGGTTTCTGGAACACAACTTCAAAATGTAAACATCTCACAAATGTCACAAGTGCGCCACTTACGGAACAAAATATTTTCCTCTGCATGAAGTTTTTTCCCCGCAACCTCTTCACCAAAGGACCAAATGTTACGAAATTTAGCACGGATTCACCAAAGCGCGTGGACCAAATCCAGACCTGGTTTCCTGACCAAAACCAAAACCAGCCCTCACGGGCCACGGGGTCTTGACAGCGGCCTTTTCTAGACTTCTTGAGCTTTGCCTTGAGAGACACACAATACCTACCTCAAGCAAGGCCGGGCGGCCCTATGAGGCACGAACAGGCCAACAGAGACTCCCAGTCCCAAGCGTCCAGCAAGGCTGCTGCAAAGATTAACCGTGTCAGAAGAATTAAAACATATTTCCATCGAAGTGGTCCGTAGGTGTAATCGTAATGGTGTATCTGAGGGCTGTTCACGGACCCTGTGTGCGGTCGGACCGCACACAGCCTCCAAGCTCCGCCCACTGCGTCCCTACGTCAGCCTTGCGTCACCGCACACAGCGACCGCTGTGGCCGGTCGGGACTGGCCACAGCGGACCGTCCACCGCACGCAGCCGTGACGTCAGAGCCGCCTACCCATCCCCTACCCCCACGCCTGCTGGACGCACCGCACACAGCGCACGCAGCAGTGTGCGGTGCCCGTGAACACCCCTCTGGTATCTCGCTGCCACTGAAATGACGGCGCGGAGTCATACACTATTTTGTCTGAGTAATTGACGAAATCGAGTACAAAATGAATGCTCGCCGCTACGACCACTGTGCTCAGCTAACGGCTTTGGGTGATCCGTGCTCTCCGTCTGTGACCGTCTCGTGGAGCCTACCGATAGACACCGAATCGAGATTACAATGTATATATGATACAGTTTACATGAACACATGACAGTCACAGCACTTCAATAAGTCGAGCCACACTCCGACCAGCGGAGAGGCAGGCTCGAAACCCGCCAGTGGTTCTTACTTCTTACACGACATTCCGAAAACACCGGCCACCGACACTAATTAAAACGCTTCCAGTATAGGTAAACGACTTAGGAACAGTAAAAAACACGACAGTTGCATTGGTGATTCACCCCGCGCGGACGCTCACCAGGCGGCCGCCGGGCAGGTACAGGCACCCCACTTCTCCCATCCCCGGCACCCCGTCCTCACTTTCCCGAGGACAGCGTGCCGAGAAGAGTACGCTTCTCCTTCTGCTGCAGGTATGTCTTGCGGTTCATACTGGAGCGGAAGTCGAGGATGTACTCGAGCTTGCGGACGATCTCCTTGGCCGTGCCCAGGTCGGCCTCCAGGTCGTGGTGCTTGTAGCCGCCGTCAGAGGGCAGCATGTACACCAGGCGCAGCACCGCACGCCCTGCAATGTCAGCGTAATGATGGCTCAGGCCGGTGCGGGTTTGCAGCCAGGCTGGACAAGGATCGAGGGGCCCGCATATTTAATTAAATCAACCAGCTACGCCTGTTTCACGAAAAAAATGAATATTTGCGCATGTAACGAGAGGATCATCCATCAAGTTCAACGAAAAGGCTAGCATGAGTACGGACAACCGATTAATGACGAAAAAATCAATAACATGAGATACCAGTGTCTCCTCCATAATCTGAGGCACGTGCCCCCGAGCCCATTTTGGTGGCGTACCTCCGTACTTGACGTCCAGTAGGCGACACTCCATGATGCAGTCAATCTGATACGTCACGGCGCGCGGCTTGCTCAGAAATTTAGACACGTTCAGGGAGGAGCGCATCTGGACCGGGTCGATCTCAACACGGTCACCCGAAATACCTGAGAAAAGGGGACAGATCAAGAATCGCTCACCAATCTCTTATATAAAGCGAAGGGACATCATGCACTAGGCAGTCATACTAAGTCGATGAAGGATAGCTCCACTTTATCGTAAAAATGGCAATTGCGCATTCATCAAGCTCTCCAGCAAAACTCCGTCGCGTTACCTACCGAGCTGGATGGGCGCCTTGATGACCAGGCTGGAGAGCATGTTGACCTTGAAGGTCTGATAGACGGTGGCTTCCATGGCGGACATCTGGCCGCTGAAATTAGGCTCCTCCACCACAGCCGTGTCCTTGTGTTTTCGGGCGGACGCTACGGAACAGAACGACCCATCGACAGTCAATATATATCCAGGGTTACTTTTAAAGGGGGGGGGGGAAGAGGGGAATTTCCCCCCTTCGAAAATTCCGCTCCCCCTTTCAAATCGTGTCTGAACGGCTAGGGAGGGAAGGGGGAATTTCCCCCTTTCAAATTTATTTTGGAGCCCATTTTCAATCAATTCGCTATTCAGATTCTATAGTCATCGTTAATCAGATTCTCGTCATCAATCAACGTTGCTGGCGTTAAGATAATTATTAATTTTCAATTTTCGGTTCCATCCAACCATTTTACGTTCAGTGCAGCAGGAACTCCAGATTTGACCCGATACCGATCGGATAGTCGGTGGGACCGTCTCTTGTCTTGTCTCTTCCGTCTTTTCGCAATCACTGACATATCGGTACAGGCGTCGGCGTAGAAACCGGCGGGGGACGGGATTACCTCTCCGAACCAAGGGTGGATACAGGGGGAGGGGGGCAATGGGCCATGGCCCCTCCTTTGACGCAAAAAGAAGGTGACCCCTTTTTGGACCCCCTTTTATATTCTGTGTTCTTTCTCAGAAACGACCCATTTATTCACGATTATTTTCACTTTTTCATCGACGCCAAGGCCAGATATCTAAAATTTTTGTCCCAATATGACAATGGCCGTGTTTAACCATCCTCCAAACCGGAATCATTGAAGGAAAAACAACGTTATTTTTGTCCCATAGGCATCAAAGCTTTGAGTAATAAATGACTTTTCTCTTTATGCAGCATTCACGTTCATCTGCTTTGCATGCAGAGCAGGGCGCAAAAAAAGTACCTCATCACAGCCGGCTTTCCCAATGGAACTTTCACTGCTCACTAATACTAATAGTAATAATTCAAGTTTTGTGCTTCATTAGTTTTTGTTCGGATATCACTGCCCACCTTGTAGTTGTAGAGGTTGCAGTTTTGTAGCGCCGTCGTTTCTCTACATACACGACCACACAAAGAACTTTGGAATTGCTCGTTAACTGTAGCTTTTGTGAGCGTTTAAGAATTTCATGTTTTTTGCTCATTTTTGCTCGAACAGTTTGACATCAATTACTCCTGACCTAAGGTGACCTAAGACTTGAAATTTTGTGCGAAGGTTTCAAATTGATGCCCGGTAAGGTACTAAAAAGCGCCGCCGTTTTTCGCTTTTCAAGAAAACCCACATGGGGGCCAAAATGACCTCCAATCAGGGCGCGGATTAACCTCTCTCTTTAGAAAGGCGTTACTTAATGTTTGGCCGGGGTATACCTACTAGTTATTGATACCACTGATAGGTTGATACTACTGATTGGCATTTGCAAGGGCGCAGTCAAGTTGGGACCTCCCCCGCCCCTTACAGCCAAGGTAGGTGCGTATATTTTTTTTAGCAAAATTATTTTTTGGCAACCTTCCAAAATAAAGTGGCTGAAACCCGAGGAAAGAATAGGATTTGGGGGTAGGTAAGGTTCTGCGGGCTCCATCCTAACGAAAAACCTAATGGTATTGCCGCCCACCCCCCTTTCAGATGCCCCTGGATCCGCCTTTGCCCCGAACTTTATTCCCCCTCTCAACTTTTCCTGTAAAAGTAACCCTGTATATATCATGAAGGTACACGAGATTTATCGCAAGAATACTGGGAGTTGGAACAGCTGCTTAACATAGCTCCTCACTAAGATGAAAGTAAAATAAAAATGACGAAATAGTTTTCAGACTCGTGAGACGGAAATAATAAATCAGAAACGTTACTTAAGTGTAAATTTAGTATTTCATTACGATAACGACTGCACTAATTGCAGTGCCCCGAAATATCGGCCCGTGAGGGAAAGTGGTCAACTGAAACCCCCGGCCCGCCACCCCACCGTCCGTACTAGTCTTGATGAGGTTGAAGTGCTGACAGGCAAGCTGTGAAAGACGCGTGTCGGCGCTTAGTGGAGACGCCGCCGTGCTGCTGTTGTCGGCTCGCTCCAGCGCCAGCTCCACCTCTGTGGGGAGGCCCGGGCAGACAGCGGAGTTCAGAGACAGAGCCGCGTCGGCGTACAGTGGAGGCACTCGGGTGAGAAACACACCAAGGGGATAGTACGATCACAAATCATTTAATGCAAATCATTTAAAATCATTCAAGCTGCTTAATCATTTAAATAACTAGCTTAATGAAAGTATCCGCCATGAACATGATGGTCAGATATACTTAACACACCATAATGATGATCACCGATAGACTACTCATATTTCCTACTAAGAACAAATAACGATGCTTTAGTCATTTTCCGCTACAATCCCCCGATACGGTCCACTAGCCTAGGCACCGTATCCACCTCCCAGACCCCTCTAACCCCAGGTCACAGGCCCTTATGACACCGCAGTGCTACAGATTGACACCGTGTCACACCACCAGTCGCACTCACCATTATCTGGAGCAAGGTCAGGCCGCTGCGACACCACCGCGTTCAGAATCTCAGCCACCGTGGCGTTGCGTTTCTTCAGCGACAGAGTCACCTGGTCCTGACCGTCCCGGCCGTCCACGTTCCTGGGGCACAAAGAGAATGGTCACGGGACGCCAAACCGTCACAGATACACACAGGTGACGGCAACGTAAGGACGACTCAAGTCACCTGAGCACACACAGGTGACGGGAGGGGGAGGGCGGTTACACTACCTCACACTCACAGTTAATTGTAACGGAGAGGTGCACAAAAAGCGGCAAACAGCCACTGGGACAGTAACTGAGCGGGCTATAACGGACGACATAATTCAATAGATGCAGCACTCGATATCACATGGAATCAGCCCAATGTCGCCCGTTACGATCTTGAGAGGAGCAGAGGATTCAGAGTACGTAGAATTTAGCCGGGATGAGTCTTCCATCGTTCAAACCGGATCGCTGGTGCCACGGACAGCCAACCGGAGCCGCAAATGGCAGCCGTTCACACTGATGTAATGCATCAAAGCGATTCTGTCTTTATTTGACAGCGCCACTCACTACCAAACGCAGACTCCTATTTGAGCCCACCACCCGCCAGTGACCTTCTTCCCTGACATTGCCCCTCGCTAATGACCCACGTCCCTATGTTACCTCTCCATTGACCCCGTCTCCATGTGACCCCGTCTACTCACACAGTGACCTCGGTCTGCTCGGTCTCGACCAGGGCCAGCACGCTGAAGCCGAACTTGGCCACCGTTTCTCGGTCGTCGAGCGGCGGAAAGTCCCAGTCCACCTCCCCATCGTCCTCAGCGATATGGAGGCTGTACAGCTCCGGCGAGTGGCTGCCGACGTACCGAACCGGTTAGGGAAACTCGGACATACAGACAGCTGGGCCAGTGACTAGCAGAGTGGAAATGTAAGAACATATGTTCAATGAGTGGCTATTCCGTAATGATGCTGCGACTGAGCGATGACGCGACTGAGCTCTAGCGATATATCAACTTTAATTAATCAGAACGGACAAGAATAAAACCATGTTAACTAATTTTACCAAACCCGTAAAAAGTTTAGCCACGTTCCTACAAAGACACCGTCGAACAGTCCGACCAGCCCACGTCTTTCCTCTACACGTCACTGTCACTATGACAGCTCTGTCAGCCTTGTGTCGGCGGTCTTACCGTAGCGGCGGCTCTCTGTCCTCGCTGGTGTACTGCCAGCAGATGAGTCCGATCAGCTCCGAGACGCGCGCGCTGGCCACCACCGTCACCGACATCGGGAACGCCTGCTCCTCGGGCGGCGCCATCGTCAGAAAGATGTTGATGCGCCGCGTCGGCACCCCGGCGTGCGCCTGAGAGCGCGGGTGACAGGTGGCCCAGGGGGAGAGGTCAGTGGGAGATGGAGCGGGAGGCGAAATAAAGAAATAGAGAGGGAGAGGGGAGAGACAGCCACCACCTACATCATCGAAAATGTAACTACAGGCATGGCTTGCGGAAGTTTCGCTGATAGTTGGGACGGGGGCGACACAAATAATCTATGAAACAGAAAAAAAAATAAAACTGATCTAAAATCAATGAATAATATACCTGTTTTATACCGCGCCTTGCTCTGGAAGCGTCTCATACACTCACTCTGCCGTCAAACTTGGAGTACTCGGTGAACGGATTGTCGGAGAGGTCGAGCGAGTTGAGCTGCTCTGTCAGCAGTGACGTCTTTGGCCGCTCAGCAATAACGATGGGCTTCTTCTCGAACACAAAATCCCGGTCAGCATCTGCCGAAGAAAAAAAGAAAGAAGAAAAGCCATTATACAGAATGGCCAGTGATCTCTGAGTTATATCCGTATTCCGTAGGGTATAACTCGGAGATCACACTGCCATTAGGGAACGTAATAAAACCAACATCCTCATACACCCTGACCCCCTGTCATGCACAGGCACTCTAGTCTAAAGGCATCGGTAACAAAGCGAGAAAAGGGCAATGACATGCTTCACAGCAGAAATTTGACTCACCTGGCAAGGGGTCGGCGTTGGGCTGCCAGATGATGTGTTTGATGCGTGCCGCGTTTTTGCGCTCCTTCTTCAGTTTGTCGAGCCGCTGTGAAGTGTTGGAGCGCCGCCGGTGGCCGCCGATGTCCATGTCCATTACGATGTCGATCGAGTGAGGCTCGAAGTAGGTATCCCGCTCGGAGGGGTCACCGGCGGCCGCGCCGGAGGACGCACACTCACTGGACATCACCATCTCACAAAGACCTAGTAAACAAGAAGGGAATGTGGGCTAAGTCACAGTGCTTTAGTAAAAAGTAGTAGGAGCAGCGCTATCCCAGACCTGTGCGCAAAAACAGCACAATCTCGCGTATTGTGCATGATGCCCCATCTGCACAATGGGTCATGTGAAAATAATGGATGTTATCAAAAGTCATCATGACTTAGCGATCGCCGGCAGGCAATAACAAGTGAAATCATTGCTATTTGAAAACAGCTGGCCATTCGTTACGGATATTTGGAAACATATGTATCATTTTCTAATAGATAGCAAGATAATATTCCGATTGCTTTGGGGGCCAGCAGCAAAGGCCGCACGCACGCCGCCGATTATTTAGGCCGTTGATTTTGTTGCTGCTGATTATTTGCGTTTTGCGCAAGTATGTGCCCAGTCGGGAATCGCGGTCGGCTTCATCAAGGCCCTATATATGTACCATTGGAAAGCCAGCACGCATGCTTTCAGAGATCGAGACTCGGGACATTCCGAGCCGGTGATTTACTCACACGAGTTGGTGAGCAGGGAAAGGTCCCAGTATATTCTGTTAGCTGACTGTAGATAAATTTTCAGGTACATGAATTTCTTTCAAGCCTGCTAGCTGCTATCCAAACCTTTCCTAGAGTCTCATGAGATGTAAACTTTCAGTGGCGCATGAAGGAGTTTTTTATATTTTCTATGCTATCAGCAGCATGGACTATCTCTACCTGCAATTTACCACCAGTTCATAGGATAAATGAATAAATCCAGCACTTTCATTTAGATTATTAGACAATTTCAGTTGATTTAAATAATTAATATATCAAGACATGCCACTCACAATTCCCTTCAGTCCCTTCACAAAACAAATTATTGTAACTCTACATATGTGTGTAGTTTTTACCATGATTATCCAGAAGCATTAACAGTCATTCTCGGAATGTATTTGGCACCCAGACAGATCTAAAATAATTCATGGGGTGGAAAATTTAAGAAAAAAAATGTTCAACTATGTAGCCTTTAAGTGAGCTTCCAAACATTCACAAACATACCCTGAATGGTTTATATAGCCTTGCCCTGAATGCATACACCTAGGGAATAAACTGTTGAGTGTTGACTTACCTGTGTCATCACTGGTGATGAATGAATTAACAATATGTGATTGTAGCCACTCTGCATCATCAAAGAATGACATGCTATCTTGTGTAGGTCCTGCAACTAGAAAAGTACATCACCTTGTTAGACATATTTATATTATTACCTATCTTACCTATCTTCTAGTGAACAAGATTCCAGGATAAACTTTGTACAGGCCAATGATTGCAGAGCTCTTTAGTCCAGACAACTCAAAGAAGGTAAAGGTCATTGCAGAAAATATGTGAGGTTATTAGCAGTAGTTTGTTTAGCTTTGAATCAAAGTCCTATGAACTATTTGCCACACTAGGACGGGTGTTCTCCTAGACAAATGTGGTAAAGTCTAGACTGAAGAACTTATAGGAAATATATCACTTTAAACATGGGGTTTTGAGCTGGAATAGCAGTTTTGTAGCTTGAGCTCAGGCTAGCACAAATCAGGAGCTTTTACACCCCAGTGATCACCCTAGGCAAATATATCCTATTTCTCCTTCTGAAAACAAAAAGAGTCCCCTGTAGAGGGATGTGTCCCTTGTAGAGAAATGTGTCCCTTGTAGAGAAATGTGTCCCTTGTAGAGAAATCTGTCCCTTGTAGAAGAATGCCAGGAATGCAGCCACCTGTCACAGAGGCTAAACTTTCAGCCCATCAGTGATCAGCTTGCAGATAGGTTGTATCATATGCGCTTTTTTGTATACAGCTTTGTGTTAGTCTATGGCTCTATGCAGCTATAACTTCATTGTTCCATGCATCGCTTCCTTCCACTGCAAATAGTAAATAGGCTCTGCTTAAGATAAAAATAGTTGTTCTTATATTAAAATATAGAAAATTATCTACTAAAAATTATTTTCTTTTCTGATCATTTTGAGAAAACATAAATCCACTGCAATAAAAACTAATTCATTTTCAGAAAAGAACTATTCCCTTTAGGCCTTTGATCTCTGGAGCCAGAGGCAATTGAAGTTATCAAAAAAAAAAAATATATATAGCTCCTATTATGTGTAATGGCGTGCGTGTCTGTGGCAGGGGCCGCACAGAAGCCAGGTAACGTGAGTAGGCGGAGGGGACCTTGTCCAGTCGTGAGGGCATGTTAAGCGTTCGGACAAAATTCTCCCATACAACTGGAATTGCGAGATCGGGTGGTGGGGTCAGGGTCAGCACAACAAGCTATGCTTAATGCGGGCTCTGACTCCTCAAATCCATCCATTCAACCATTCGGACTAAATTAAAAAGAAATATATATAAAACAACTCTGAATGCTTTACTTTTAGACAGAACAGAATTAGAATGCCCGAGGACAAGGAAAGGCACACGACACACGAAGCAAAAATGATCAACAAATAATAGTTTAACGTAAGAGCATTTAATTTCTACAGAAGCTTATGTAAATTGGATAAAAGTGGCCATTATGTAACTAGTACCTAGGAAAATACGAAAATACGATACCAGTTGGGCAAACTAGACTTTAGGAATCAAAATATGGAGGCATCAATAATTTGATTCTGGTGGGAGGAGCCATGACCATATATGGGCATGGAATCAATTTTTTGATTCATTTGGGTACACTTTTGACTTCAAATGTATCGTTACGGTTGAAAAAAGGCCCATGACGGTGAGATTTTTCTTTAAAAAGGTAGAAAAGTGTGGTAGCTTTCCAAAAAGTGTTACCTCAAAACTAAGAAATTGTCCCTTTGGCCTTGTGAATGGGAAAAAGACAGAGCCACTGTCCATCACGTAAAAGCTGTTTTGAGGAAATCACACTGTATGTTATTTTTGTATCATGAATGGCATACTAAACAATCAGTATTTGTGTAAAATGGCAAAATGTAATTTTCAAACCCCTTATTATCATTGTTGTAGTGCTTTTATATTTATTATATGGTTTTTACCGGTTGCTTCAGTTTTTGTATTCTTGACATTTAAAAATTGTGAATTGTTATCAAATGTAGTGAAGGTTAACTACAACAATGCCATAGGTATCTGTTGTGGTGCTGAGGATACCACTAAATGAGAATAGTAGCAAGATAAATGATGTATTCCTGCAAGTCATTGTTGCCTATCTCTTAACATTACCTGTGAATCAAAATAATGATTAGCCAGCTGATGGGGAATCAATATTATGATTATCTGTTTAAAGTGAATCAATTCCTTGATTGCCTTTCACTACCTATATAATTCAAGTTGTTATGATAGGAGCAATATTATTTTGCTTAGGAGATAGTTCCAGCATTTCTGTTCAAGATCAGGCATGCTCCGTCTTGAAACACTCTCTTATTTTTACGTGATTGGTAAGTTAGAAATGGTCTGCATTTATGCCCAAATATGGTCATAAGGAATCAATCTTTTGATGCCTCCATATTTTGATTCCAAAGGTCTAGTTTGCCCAACTGATACAGGCACTTTCCTCGTTCTACACAGAGATCTGCTAAAAATTCATATACATGCAATACAAAAGGAACCATTGCTCTTAAGAGATGTGTTCAAAAACATAGTTGACCGCAAAGAAAACCTAGTGACCGCAAATTGCATAGCAAATTGCTGCTAAAAACCATGGAGATCTGCATATTTACGTCTGGACAACGAGTTGCGTTGGAGAGGCCGGAAATAGTGGCGATTTCAGGACCGCAATAATGGACCGTCATTGGAGTGATTCTTTTTTTAAACGTGCACGGTTTTTAGCCGAAATTTAGTTCTTACTACAAAATATTTTGTAATTGGATTTTGGCCGAGAATGAATACCATCAGGGCTTATTTTTTACTGTCACTGTATTTTGTCCAGAAGCATATAGTGCTGTTTTATTGCAGTTTTTGCGCGTTTGTTACAAAATATGAAGCGAACCTGCAAAAAAGTTCCAAGTAACGTTGATGTATATCGCAAATTATCATATTGACCTCAAGTTCATCCGTTCCTTCCATGATTGACTAGACAGTTTAACACATTTCAATTTTATCTTGGATCAATCAGAGGTGTCCTTGTTATCAGTGCCAACTGCCAGAGGTTAACTTGAAGGGAAGCTATGATAATTGCTCTTGTCCATGTCCCTCCACTCACACTAAGAAGAAGTTATTACATATTTTGGTTTGTGTATTCCAAGAGGAGAGAGAAGTGGGAACTATTTTCTTTGCGGCTTCATGTCGAATTGAAGATGGATCATTAAATTTTCAAGGCGTTGATTAACCAGGGATTTAGTCTTTCTCGTACATAAGCAGTGGCTAAGAAGAAAAAGTTAATCATACCTTGTCCTGAAGTTCAGTCATCTTACTTCAACTCAAACTTTGCAGCAAGATCCCCAAGGACAGATGATATATTGTATACCCATCCTGTAAATCAAAGTTTTTTGTGCCTGCAAAGGCTTAAGTTATTTGTTGTGTGCTCGGAGTGAGGCTATGGGCGTTTTGTTGAATGTTTATGCGGAAATTGAATATACCTAACTGTGACCCTGTGATTGTTTGTATATTTACTACAGTCAAACAGCATATTCAAATAATTTACTCACCTAGCTCATCTCATAGCTGTACCCCGCAGGATTTGTACTTATTGATGTCTCGAGCAGGAACAAAGCACTAAACTAGCTTAGTTATCATTTCCCACATTTTTCTGAGCGTCAAACATGGCATACAGCAGTGCAGAGCAGCTTCAGAGAAGAAACACTTAAAATGCACAGACTCGCACCAGCCACCCAATGAGCCAGTTCCTCATTTGGCTGCTGTTACCCTGGATGTGGTTTGGCAAGGTGAGCTAACTGTTGTCAAGTTGAAGGTTAGGAGGTAAGATTGAGTTAGGGTGAGTACCTAGTACCTGTAACTGGGTGCTAATGCTATGGTCTTGGGTAAGTTGCAAATAAGTGTGATGATTGAGGTTAGGTCAGGTTAGTCAGGTATGAATTGATCAGGTCACATTTTTATGGACACTTGGCAAATTAGAAAAAACTAGCATGACCTAATCTTAGCTAACCCAACTATGCCTACATAACTACTAAACTACTGAGCACCTACCGAAATTGTGCCTACATCTTGTAATGTTCAGTTCAAAGCATGTATTCGGCCCAGATACAGGTCTGCCGGGGAAGGATAACACACAGTCACAACATGCACAGGACACATTCGTCACATTCCTCCCCGCCATACACCGCCATGTAACATCGTGCGTAGGAACACATGAAGTTAACTAAACAGCCATTCTCCATAAAGCTTTGGGGCGGATCTTTTTCTTTTACTTCGTCTGACAGCGTTAGTCCCAGTATCCCCATCACCTCCTGTCGTCAGCCTGTCATCACCATCAGCCACACTATCCGTGACAACAACGCAAGCACCGTCCCTCGAGTCTACATCGGGCACAGTTCCTCCATCAGCGCTGTGCAGCACACTCGTATCCCCCTCGGCACCAACAGAAGCTTCCTGATCCGTAGCATCTGCGACTGTACTAGAGGATAGCAACGGTGCTTCTACGTTAGCATGCTCCAGACCACTTAGGACGTCCGCTCTGTGATCGATACACACATCGGGTGCGCGATGTTGAGACAGATATGGCACATAGTCATCATCGTCTTCCTCTACCACTTGACCAGCATCAACAGACTCAGACTGAGATCCATGATCATCCTCATCCTGTTCATCCTGGCTACCTTTGCGCGCATACTCCTCACGTTCTACATACGGTTTCAGGTGATCATGATGTACTACCACCTTCCTACCGTTCTTTAACCTCAAGCGATAGTTCTGCGGCGACAGCACCTCAATGATATCAAAGGGGCCCGACCAGGGACTCTGCAGCTTGGGGGAAGTCCCTTTCGCCCGACCGCTCTGTGCAGCCACACCCGGTCACCCACCTGATACTGCATCTGGTTCACAACCTGACGCTGACGCCGTTTGGCAGCTGCTTCCTCGATAGCAGCAGCCACCTTCCGACGGACCTCCTCAAACTCTCGAGGGGAACAGATCCTGTCTGCCGGACAGTCACCACCACCACAAGTGACGTCGAGAGGGAGTCTGGCCGGGCGACCATGAAATATCTCGAAAGGAGAAACACCGGTAGTCTCATGCTTGCTCGTGTTGTAAGCAAAAACAACTTTTGGGACCACCGTGTCCCAATCCCTTTGATTGTCTGAAACGAAAGCAGCCATCATGGAGCACAGGGTTTTGTTGAAACGTTCCACCTGTCCGTTTCCGGATGGATGGTAACCCGTCGTGCGTGTTTTGTCGATATCCAGATGTCGACAGACTTCCTTAAACAATCGGCTCTCGAAATTGCGACCCTGGTCTGAGTGGATAACGCGTGGACACCCATACCTGCAGAAGAGCTCCCTAACCAGGATCCTAGCAACCGTTTCCGCCTCCTGGTTGGGAATGGGAAATGCCTCGGCCCACTTCGAAAATCCGCAGACCACTACCAGGATGTATCGGTTACCAGAGTCCGTCAACGGAAAGGGTCCCGTAATGTCTGTGGAGACCCATTCCCAAGGTCGGGCTGGAAGAGGCATCTTCCCGAACTCCGCCCTGAGGGGATGGCAAGGGCTTTTCTTCTTGGAACATGGAGAGCAAGATTTGACGAAGTTGGCTACGTCAATGGTCATTCGGGGCCAATAGAAACGGCACTTCAGCTTCTCAGTAGTCTTTGAAATTCCCAAATGACCCGCCCAGCGACTGTCGTGGGACTCTGAGAGTATCTCATCGACCATGGAAGCTGGAACGACAAGACGCCTGTGGTTGTCCGCGTGAATGTATAACAACCCCGAAGAGCTGTCCACTTCCAAAGCCTCTTTCACTGACAAATAGTGTCGTACGACAGACGACTGACTAGATACATTTGGCAAACCATGCAAAAGACTGACGACAACCAGCAATATATCTGGATCACTGCGCTGGGCCAGAAGGATACGGTGTTCATCAGACTTGAGATCAATGTGACCAACCACACCTCCCGACACCGCCCTTGACAGCGCATCAGCATGTGGGATGGACCGTCCTGGACGGTACTGCATTATGTACGGAAATTGTTCCAGCTCAAGGATCCACCGAGCCAGCCGTCCCCTCGGGTCCTTGCACGAACGCAAGTACGTCAACGGGCAGTGATCTGTCTGGAGTGCGAATGGTTTACCCTGCAGGTATACAGCAAAGTGGCGAACCGCCCAGACCACTGCCAAGCACTCCCGCTCGGTGGCGCTGTATCGAGACTCGATTTTGGACAGACAGCGGCTCGCAAACGCCACCACTTTTTCAGAACCGTCAACCCGCTGGGTAAGTATCGCACCCAGACCGATGCCGCTGGCATCGGTAGTGAGAATAAACTCTTTCTCGAAATCGGGGAAAGCCAGAACTGGCGCCTCCGTCAGCAGACGCTTCAAACTTTGAAAGGCGGACTCGCACATGTCATCCCAAAGAAATTTCGCACGATCCTCGGTCAGCTTAAGCAATGGCTTAGCCACTGTAGAAAAGTTTGGTATGAACTTTCTGAAATAACTAGCTAAACCAATGAATCTACGCACATCATGGACGTTTTTAGGACGTTCGTAGTCGACAACCGCCGAGACCTTCGAAGGATCCGCGGAAATGCCCTCACCGCTAATGACATGACCTAAAAACTTCACCTCCTCCTTAAAAAAACTACATTTCCTCAGGTTAAGTTTCAGATTGGCCTCCTTTACGGCACACAGAACGTGATCCAGGTGACTCAAAGCTTCATCAAACGACTTACCGAATACGATCACATCATCTAGGTAAACCAGGCACTCCCGCCAGGTTAACCCAGCAAGAACAGCCATCATGAGACGCTGGAATGAGGCCGGGGCTCCCTTCAGTCCAAACGGCATCCTCGAAAATTCCCAGAGTCCCGTGTGGGTAGAGAAGGCTGTCTTTTCCTTATCTGAGTCCTTTACCTCCTGCTGCCAATATCCCGACTGAAGATCCAAGACGCTGAACCAAGATGACCCGGAAAGAGCATCCAAACAGTCCTCCACCCTGGGTAAGGGGTGAGAATCACCATGCGTTAGGTCGTTAAGACGACGGTAATCAATGCAGAGTCGCAACGAGCCATCTCGTTTCCGAACTGGCACCACCGGGGAGCTCCACGGCGAGCAGCTGGGACGAATGATACCATCTCGCTGCATTTTCAGGACAGCCGCGTCAACATCATCCCTGTCAATTACGTTAATCCTTCGCGGAGGCTGAGAAACGGGGCGGGCTCCCTCTACGAGCGGGATCGAATGTTTCACGATACCACACTGTCCCAGCTCACCATCTAACGAGAATGCTTGTTTGTGCTTACTCAAAAGATCGGAGAGGGCAGTTTTCTGTGCATCATCACTGAGGTCAGAACCCTCGACCAGAGCGTTCACCCAAGCATCATCAATCTCACATTCATCCCCAGAGTCACCATCAGCAATCTTTGAGTGATCCATCAGACGGGCCACCACAGAGCGAGCGGGCAAAGTGACACCCCGGCCTGACGGGTTCAAAACTCTTACGGGTATCATACCTCCCTTGGACACTGTCGCCACAGATCTAGCCGCCAAGAGTGAATGTTTATCAGAAAGAAGGCTACTCGACTCAACAACGACCACCCCCGAAACATCATCTGGAACAGAACACATCACAATACTTTGGTGCTTCGGAGGGATGATAACGGTGTCCGAGGACCGCACGCAGTCTGCTGCCTCGGTAACAGTACACCCCCGAACACTCACTGTGTGGGCGGCAAAGTCTATAGAAACAGCCGATCCCATCTTTTTCAGCAAATCAGTGCCCAGTATGCAAGAGGGAGACAGGCCACGCACCACAAACAGGGGCTGATCTCGCAGTGTCTTATCTCCGATACTAACATCACACACAACTACGCATTCTAAATCTAATGCGTTTCCATCAACAGTGACGGGCTGCCTCAGAGCGGGGATCCTCTGGACATCCATATCCCCAATGACATCTGACGAAACAACACTACATTGTGCCCCAGTATCTAGCAACCAGTCCACTCTCTTATGCTGAACGTATCCCGAGACAAAGACTTCCGCATCATTATAACCCCCCACTCGGGCGGCTGCTACATGACTGCGCTGTCCACACACAACCCGACCTGCCCGAGCCAGCACACCCCCAGCCACAGTGGCACGCAACACTCCAGCCCCCCGAACTCCGGGACCGGGTTTGTCCTTACCACTGCAACTCGATCGTGGTGACTCCGCCGTCAGTGCCTCACCAGTGGGTGCGCTCGGCACTCGAACGCCCGCCGCGGTGGCCCCCTGTAGGCCAGAACGCTCATCCACGTCAGACAAGCCTATCGCATCGGGCTCGACGGCTGACGGACTCATCACAGCATCCGCCTCTAAACATTCAGCGAACCTTGCCACATCCACAGAGCCCGGCCGGGAGGACACACAGCCGGCCGAATCGTCAGTGTCAACACACACAAGCTCAACAGCCGGCGAAACCGACTCACCCTGCGCGCCCGACTCCGGCGCGGCACGACACCCGGCCTCCAACGGAAGGCCTCCACCGGGAGGCGTGCGCCGCGCCGCAGAAACCCCAGTCACACTCGACTCCGAACACGGTACCTCCCCCGACGCCGAAGAGGGCTCCGCCTGGCCCGGCTGCAGCGCGCCGTCCGAGCACGGCGCCGGAAAGGGCGCCGCCTGGCCCAGCTGCGGCGCGCCGGCCGACCACGACGCTGAAGAGGGCGCCGCTTGGCCCGGCTGCAGCGCGCCGGCCGACCACGACGCTGAAGAGGGCGCCGCTTGGCCCGGCTGCAGCGCGCCGTCCGACCACGGCGCTGAAGAGGGCGCCGCCTGGCCCAGCTGCGGCGCGCCGGCCGACCACGACGCTGAAGAGGGCGCCGCTTGGCCCGGCTGCAGCGCGCCGTCCGACCACGGCGCCGAAGAGGGCTCCGCCCGGCCAGGCTGCAGCACGCCGGCCGAGCACGGCGCCGGAAAGGGCGCCGCCTGGCCCAGCTGCAGCGCGCCGGCCGGCCACGACGCTGAAGAGGGCGCCGCTTGGCCCGGCTGCAGCGCGCCGTCCGACCACGGCACCGGAAAGGGCGCCGCCTGGCCCAGCTGCGGCGCGCCGGCCGACCACGACGCTGAAGAGGGCGCCGCTTGGCCCGGCTGCAGCGCGCCGTCCGACCACGGCGCCGGAAAGGGCGCCGCCTGGCCCAGCTGCAGCGCGCCGGCCGACCACGGCGCCGGAAAGGGTGCCGCCCGGCCCAGCTGCGGCGCGCCGGCCGACCACGACGCTGAAGAGGGCGCCGCTTGGCCCGGCTGCAGCGCGCCGTCCGACCACGGCGCTGAAGAGGGCTCCGCCTGGCCAGGCTGCAGCACGCCGGTCGAGCACGGCGCCGGAAAGGGCGCCGCCTGGCCCAGCTGCAGCGCGCCGTCCAACCACGGCGCCGAAAAGGGCGCCGCCAAGCCCAGCTGCGACGCTGAAGGTGGCGCCACCTGCCCACTGGGCCACCGGAAACAGTGCGGCGCCGGCGCCCCCATGGGCCACCAGTCCTGCCGCGCCACTCCCCAGTTTAACTGTCTCGGGGCCACACCCCTCACGGGTACATCAGACGCCGCGACCACGCGCCCCTGCCGAATCGCGGCTACTCGAAATTTGCACAGCCTCTGGCCATATGTCCCGGCTGCTTGCAGCGAAAACAGATAACAGGCTTCCTCTTCTCCTTCTGAGCCCCAGGCTCTGAGGGTTTAGCTGTCACTTGCTGCGTCTGATCAAACCGCCTTCTCTGTCCAAATCTGCTCTTGGGTATTGACAGCGCATCAACTTTCTGCTCCAGTGCTGACACAACACCTGCCAGTCTTTGGATTTCACCCCTCAGCTCATCCTGTTCCAACGGCACGCGTCGGACTGCCGCTGGGGCAAACACCTGCTCAAGCCGTCTTGCCCTCGAGATGAGGTCTCTGTATGATTCTGATTGGTCACCACCAAGGAGAAGCTGGGCTCGCAGAGTGTCAGCCAACCCTCCATTGATGAAGTGGGTTTTGCACAGACTTTCGAGCTGAATCTCAGTAAAAGATGGATACGCCTTCCGCGCCAGCGTCTTCAGAGCATCACCAAACTCTGGGAGGGGCTCCCCTGCCAACCGCCTCCGAGATACAAACAGAAGAGCATAGTCCGACTCCAAGGCAGTTGCAGAGTATTCCTTTCGCAGGGCATCCTGCAGTGCTCCTACAGTGGTTTTCTCCTCAATGGGTAGACGGCGGAAAAAATCAAAAGCTGGTCCACAAAGTGCAGTAGGAAGCTGCAGAGCCTGAGTTTCTGGGCTCCAACCATTTGCCCTGGACACTACATCAAAATGATCCAGGAAACGTTCAACATTTCCCTGGCCATCAAACTTATCAATTTTGGCATGACCACCAACAGCCCCAAGTAGCTCTGGCTTAGTCTCCACCATACTTCTTGGCTTCAGATAGTACACACAGTCCGAGCTCCCAGGACATGCAGCATGCAAAGCTCACTTCATGCAACCAGATCATGCATGGCCATCAAGCGTGGGTCCATCTGGGCCGAATCAATCAGCTGCCACCAGTGTAATGTTCAGTTCAAAGCATGTATTCGGCCCAGATACAGGTCTGCCGGGGAAGGATAACACACAGTCACAACATGCACAGGACACATTCGTCACAATCTCATACCAAGTCAAAATAAAGTTCCTTTCTGGAAGATTACCCTCAGTCCCTCAGTACTTTTTATCCCAGCCCTGTGAAAACCTAATACTTCTAAGTTCTGAGTCCCTTCTGGCCATCCACAGAAAGAAATGCTGACAGCTTTGCTTGTGTATATTAGACCAATAATCACCATCACGAATGACTGAACACATGACATGATCACATCGTTGCATGGATTTTCACATTGACAATTTTACTTAAATCCTTTTTTCAAGAAATGCAAAGTAATGATGAACATCAAATTAAACATTAAGCTGATTTAGTGATCCAAGCTTTCTTCTCCAGTAGCAATAGAATGATCGCATGTTTCATTTGCCAGACACTGAGTACCTAATGCACATCACCATCTGCATATGCAAAGTAAAGCTGCCTGGGTTCGTTCATTCTAGAATTTTTCACTTGATAGTTAGCACTCATTGATCTTGCTGCTGTAAGTTATATTTCAATATTCATACCAATACATCAATACGCGTTCATCAGCCAACATTTACTGGCTTCATACTGCGCGTGCTCTTCAGTATTGATCTCCTGCAATACCTATTATAGCTTGTTTTCGGCCAATAAGCTCTTTTAATTTTACTTTTTTTCTTGCTGATAAGTGAGCCAGATCAACTTGCGTTTATCAACCAACATTTCCTAGCTTCAACCTGATATTACTCAGGACTCAGGACTCTTCAGTCTCCTGTACCTATACTTCAACTTGGGATTGTTTTCAGTCAACATGCTTCTTTAATATGACATAATTCAGTCACAAGGGATTCAAAACTTCCAACAAAACGACATACTAGAGTTCGAAAACCACCAGATAAACTTGAAAAATGCCTTGGAACGGAGCAGAACGGAGCCAAGTGGTGCTCAGGCCCATGTCGTCCCCTATCTCCGCGTGTGTCCACTAACACGAATGACGTCACGCATGTGGGCGGAGCTATGGGCGGAGCCTAACGCACGCGGCAGTCCAAGCCGCCATATTTGAATTTATATTTTAATAGAATCTTGCCGATATTTTGGGTGAAGTCAATTTATATGGATAGCTTGGTGACAGTTTAGCTATATGAATAATAATTTATTATGAATGTGCGTATATTCAGCTTGGAATTGCAATTAAAGTTCCGCACCGCATAGATTCGAACTCGGGACCTTTGGAATACTGCGCGGGCACGCTAACCACTACACTACCGCGACCGCGCGGCGGCCGGCGGCAGGGAGGCTGCGGAGACATGGGGGACCTTTTACGCTTTTGTGAAAAAAGCAAAAGATTTAGCGAAAAACACGTAATAGATAACTTGCAGAAAATTGTCTGCTCTTTCAGATAAGATACTTAGGTTTGATATATCTTGTGCAGACTTCATTCTACAGTGCTTCGAAAATCGCTCGTTTACATGGGGATTGAACGGGGCTTCGAGACTTGACTCCAAATGACGTCACGAGCTGACGTCACGAAAAGGTAGAATCGCCGGACGACCCTACCTGGTATATAGGGCCTTGGTGGTGCTGCTCCATTTGTTTGTTTACAATAATTGTAGTGCTGATGTATTGTTTTAGGACTCTAGCGGTCGGCTTATAAAAAATGAAACATTTTTACAAAATCTGTATGGCAATTAATATTTTTCTGAAAGAACTAAAATATTCAAGAGCCAAACACTATGAAATACAGGAATCGGAACGAAAAAGTAACCCAAAAATCCAGCCTAATAACCGACTCCTAAAACTGCGGCAAAATCAGCACTTTTCCCCGCAACTCGTTGTCCAGACGTAAATATGCTGGAGATCTATGAAATAGACGATAGTTGCTAGGCAACAGTAATAAGTGTTTCACTGATGAATATGAAGCATGTATTTTCTGCGTATGTTTTGTCTTCTGATCTGCTCTGTCTGATTTTGTTCAGAATTGGCAGTTGTTTTGATGTCAATGATCAACAGTTAGGGTATTCTGGACTATCATTGGGTAGAGAAGTGCTCATATCTATTCGACAGCTGAAAAAGTGAATGTTTGAACACAGCATAAATGTTTTTGGGCCGGGGACTATCTCACGCATTGTAGTTTGTAATTCTTATGTAATCGTGCGTTGTGGCCGAATGGTATTGGAGCGTTAGGACGATTCTTATTCATAAATTTCAATTTGATATAGTGGTAAGTTTCTCTTGTTTTCACTTATGGTAAAGAAATTGACATTTTACCTAACGCTCATGAATAGCATCAGCATTGCAAGCAAAGGCAAGGCCTGATGATTTCAAGTTAGAGGAGAGCTTTCGGGACATGCCTAAGAGCTGGACTTTTTGCACGCGTTCCCCGCCAGGGGGCGCCACTGAGGAAGCACCCTCTGACGTCACGATAAAACTGCGCGCACTGTGCGCACGGTTCTGTAAGCAAGTAATATAGTGGTGGTTTCATGGTGGAAATTGGAATAAGTATTTTCACGTTGTAAAATTTCAAGCCGTTTTTGTGAAATTAATTAGTAAATTCATTTCAAAAGTATTAATTTGAAGTGTAAAAGGAGAATAATTAGAAGAACATGGATATTTTTGTTCCAATAGCTTATTATGTGAGACATGATCGGTACTAACGGGTACTTCTAAGAAGTTAGTGAAGAAGTACCAAACAGCCTGCTCGGCTACGATCGTCAGCTGTCCTTTGGAGCTGGACTTCAACGCTGTAAAAAAAATATGTGCTGAATTAATTTTTAGTTTCACCAAAATATAAGCAATTTATCATTTCTTTTTCACTTTTGTAATTATTGTTGAGTGAAGAGACATGTTGTTAGCTCTGACAATATAAATTATTAATTAAAAAAACGAAATGCGACGGTAAGTATCTGCTACTAAATTATCACTTTAACCAAATACATGGAGAATCTTGCTACCATTGCTTATAAAACGTTCTTATCAATACACAAATGTTTTATTTTAGACAAGAAGGATTTATTTGCTTAAAGTCTTGCGTCATGTGCTACTGCTTTGATTCCAAAGACGCTCTCCGGGTCGGGGTAATTTAGTTCTTCATCGATCGATAAGAGATTTTGATTCCATTGATATCCAAATTGATAAGCTCGGCACCATGGAGTAAGGGCGTCCCCACAGGAGTGACGCAGGAAATATGAATGGCGTTTACACCGACAGTAGTTTCCCACAGCCGGCAATGGGAATCTCCTGTCGGTGTAAACGCCACTATAGTCCCATCCAGCTCAAACACTGGGGAATATCCCCGCACTTTTGAGGACGGAAATCTATGGACCTGCTCGAAAAATAGTGGATAAAGTACGGCGAGCTTTCAGTTTTATGGTTGGGTCTCCCTTCCGAGGCACATATTTACGGGGGATATTGGGTCATATTCCCCCGGCGTCCTGATGATCGGCGCCCAGCTCAACGTCGAAAGCGCCCTGATACGCGGCACTGCTATCTGTGAAGGTGCCCAGGCTGCTGCCGCTCGAATTTTGGTCGCCTCAACTTAATAAAACCTCCGTTGATGCCATCTCAGTTTCCTCGAGGTCAGGCAACCTTCACACGCCGTTGGCTACCTTGGCTGGCCGGCGACTCGTTCCCCTCGTGGCGACGCTCTTGACATCCAGTCAAAAGTTGGAGTGGCTGCCGGCTGGCGCCCCCAGTGGGGGCCGGGGAAGGGGCAGTGGGCCTCCACGTTGCTCTCTTCCCGAGCCTATGGTGACTTGGCTCAACTCTCCTCAATAGAATCTGGATTCTGCACGCTGTATTAACATGGGCGTAGACACCACTACGGACAATACGGACAGTGGGTGTGACAATCAGTAGTGCCATTCATATAGAGGGTGTCATATATGAGCGGAGAGGCAACAGTACAGCTGAGCGGAGAGACAACATTAAAACAACAGTACAGCTGGCGTTGCATGGAGCTGCAGGCAACCGGACAGCGGAGGCTTGCGAAAAATAAACAATTCGTCACTTCAACGTATAAACAATAGTAAAAGCAACATAAACACATATTCTCATGGTCGAACCCATGCACTAGCGGCTCACGGCGGGCACAGGCACGCAGTGCGGTAGCGGTACCGGATCACACGTCATGGGCGTTGTCTCAGCATAGGTTGTTCGCAATCTAGTTGAAGCCTAAGAAGACGGCCAGTGGGGTCTCACTGCTGCTGAGGCGACCTCGGAGACGATGCGTCGCCCCTCCTGTCGGCGACCTGCGGTGAGCAGGACTCCAGATAGCTGGCTGGCACGTTGCCGACACTGCCAGATGCTGTCAGCAGGCCTCACTGCTGCAAGTGATGTGCAGATGGACGCCAGGTGACTTCGTCTGCAGGCGATTCCGGAGACCGCGGCCTCACCAGGCAGTACCACCTGCATCGCCATGTCGGTGTTTCTAGAAATGGAAAAATAACAGTATTGGTGAAGGACAAGCAATACAATGTATTCTGTTTTCCTCTCTTGCAGGTATACGTAATCTACAATTATCATTGTTCCTATTTCATTCAAATGAACCTGAAAATTCCATATTGGTACATTGGTTGACTAAATTTGTGTAGTTGGGAACAGGGGCGACGCCACGTTGCGACGACTGGAGGGGACATTGACCATTTTGGAGGGGACGAGGACCATTTCAAGTCGATTCTTTCCATGCAACGCCATAGGCGTAACGCTAAAATTTTAAAAAGTGGAGGGGACGAGATCCCCTCCGTCCCCCCACCCTGTGGCGATGCCCTTGGTTGGGAAGCAGATTGTTTGAAATACATGTTTGGCTGAACAGTGCGGAAAATATTTCATTGATCACTATAGCTGCAACAAAAATACTGAGACAGAAAACATTTGCGCTTACCTGGCTCCTTAGTCAGTCCCGCACAACGGAAGTGGTACCATTTATCGCAGCCGTCGCATCCGACCATTGGTGCTGCACTGATGCTGCTGCACTCCCCACATTCCCAGTAGGTACCTTAGGAGCGTCTTGGCTGTGAAAAGATTACATGAGTCATGGCGCATACATGAATAGTAAGATGTTTTATATGTTTAACATCGCATAGCAAAGACACAACAGCTGGGAGTCAAGTGTAAGCCAAAGTGTAAGCCCTGCCATGTTTTGCAGACTGGATTTTAAGCAAGAAAAGCTTTGCTAAAAATGACGCTTGACGAAGCCTCATCCTACTGGGCTGTCTGACATGTCTCCCTGTAAAAAGCATGTGGCCCTTATATTGTATATATGATGAATATGTTAATAATGCAGAGAAAACACAGTATAAATTATACCCAACGTTTCATCTTAATCGACTTTGTCAAGGGTGTTTGAACAGCTTGAGATGAGTGAAGTGTAAGGGTACCTAGGTACATCTGAAAATAAACTGAATCTGCGTTCAATAAACATTGATTTTGATAATACATTTCACAAATAAACTGCTAATAACAATCATACTAAAATAGCACGACAGATAACTAACAATCGCATGAAGAGCTTCTTGATTCGCCTTGACATTGTCGTCCGAACGAATGTTGTCTGAAGTTACACATTTGTCTTTTCTGCGCAGCATTTGTGTTTGCCATTTACCGCACCAAATGTTCGCCAGCGGTGGTGACTTTTCCTTACCTGCTCACGAAACGTCACACACGACATGACGTCACCCGAAGACGTCATCAAAAAGTCCAGCTCTTAGGCGTGTCCAGCTTTCGGCCGTCGGCTTAGCACCTGCAACTCGCTTATATATTATTGCGGTACTTTTTGGTGCAATCATGTTGAAATTCACAATATTGACAACTCGTCTGGCTTGGAGTGAAAATATGTGTATTCGTATTTGTATTTTCAATCATGAGCGATCCACACATGGTGTAGCACAATGACTGAGGCCAGTTTTACCAACAGGAAAATAGCCGCCTGGCTGAACTTTTTGCCAAATGGCAATTTCACACACAGAGTGTTAACCTTAACGGTGTAGCCATATCTGCTTGTGCGCCCATCTCGTTTACGCTCTGTATGTGAAACAACCCTTAGGTGAAAAGTTCTGGCACTGGCAGGCAGGTATTTTTCTGTTGGTAAAACTGGCCTCAGCTCAGTAATGTCACATGCTGTGTCTATTCCTCTACATCAATATACCATGTCTTATCTCAATCTCATTGTCAGACCTGGGTGCCTGAAAATATCTACTCTAGTTGATGTGCCAGTCTATTCAGACCATGGTCTGGTCTGTTTTTATAGTTGCCTCATTTTATTGATAAGTTTATTAAGTTTATTTATATTAACTTATGACAAATGGTGATTTATTGCATATCATGTTGATAATTGTATTATATTTCACTTTTCAGGGCTTCTTATAGATACCTCAATGTCTGGAGGCACACTGACTGGTGTGAGAGTGTTTGTGAAGAGAAACTTTGTGTCAGTTATCTTTCCAATTATATGTTTTGGATCTATTGCTGCTGATTATTCACACACGAAAGTAAGTAGGTACCTGTTATCTTTTGCCTTGAATCTGAAAAAAATGAATACACTTACTAGGTATCTGTTATTAATAACAATAGGTTAAAACTGTCTTGACTTTTGTTCCCCACAGTTTGGATAAGAAAATGGGTGTTCATGGCTTACCAACATCCTTTCTTACCATACCATACCATATCATACCATACCAGAATTGCTGAATTCTGAGGACAGAAGTACAGAGCTGTAAACTGTTTATGGGTGACTGATCAGTGATCACTGCTGTTGCCTGTGGTGTGATGTGATGCATATGTTTGAAGCTAGTACTTCTAGTCTTCTTACCTACTTTTCTGCTTGCAGGCATGGAAAGCTAGCAAATTGGCAGCTGCACAGCCCGCATAATGTGGGCATTCCACAGAACAGCTTTGCTGCTAGCTTTACCCTTTTGTGGGCCACACCATGTCATCAGTGTGATATGAAGTTACTGAATAGTCAATAGGAGGCTGACTTGAATCATCAACAGTTTAAACCAACATGACCTGTCTGGTGATGTATTTGTTATTTTTATCATAACAAATGAGAGTATGTAACAGAACAATGGTCACATGGCTACTATTTACATACAAAGCAGGTTTGGCAGACCTGCTCTTTCCTTTGCAGTTTTGTTGTGCGAGTGAATGTACCTACTCTATTGAAGTAATATATTAACAAAATCCATCAATGTCTTGTTTGGGGCCCCAGCTCATGACCTGAGTAATGAGGTAAACGCTGTAGTATAAGCCTACGCTAACGGTAGAAGTAAATGTGTCCTACGACGGAGACACCGGCGCCCGACAACTGGGCCGAAACAGTTGGAGGCCGGTCAGAAGTCATGTAGGTACTCGTATTCCTCTACCTTGACCCGTCTCCTGCTCAAGGCGCGGACTCCGGCGCTGTTTGCCTTATACCAACTTCGTACTCTTAAGTCTGTCTTGATGGGCGTTTAGCACCTTCAAATCGGTGCGAGGGACGTGTGAATTCATAACGAAGATGGCTATCTGGGTTAACGTTACCATTTCATGGGAGGGTGGGGGGAGGGACACCGGACATATCACTTAGCTTTTTAAAGTAGACCGTCAAGTGGCGAATGTTGTCCTATAATGCTTTTAACGTTCCGCCACAGGCAAAGGATAAGAACAAGAGTAAAGTAACGCTCGACCATACTATGTCGGAGCTGTTATGAAGCATCCTACAGGTTACGTAGCCAAAGGTTGCTTCGAAATCAGCGTTTTTTTTTTTGGTGTAATCACGGCTGCGTTTTGTTAACAACTGCGATTTAAGACTACCTATAGTTTGATTGGTGCGCTTGATTATGATGAATGATCTGTCCGTATTCCTTCACAGCCAGGTCCTCGGTCTAGGTAGGTAGGCATCAGACATGTGCATGGATCCGAGTGATGGATCTATGATCTCAGTGAATCTCGAAGCAAACTGTAGGTTAGGATCTATGACCCCACCGGATCCGGTGTGAAAAATTTAATCTGGACTTATGATCTCATAGGATCTGACGATAAACCAAAGAACATGGATCTATGATCTCACCGGATCTCAAGCAAAAATTAGCCTAGTTAGGATCTATGATCCCTACGGATATCTCGATAAATTGAAGAGCTGGATCTCGGATTCTGACGCATGCGAGGTCAGGATCCGTGGGATCAGATCCCAGATCCATTTTCTCGGATCCACGTACCTACATGTCTGGTAGGCATGTTAAAATTCTGGGGTAATCGCATTACCCTCGTCCCGTTGACAGTTTTTCTTCGCAGTTTGTAATTGAATACATTGATAGGTAAGCGTGTTTGCGAGTCGGACAGCTTCCGTTGACATCACGTTTATTGATTTCGCAATTGAACGGTTACCTAAACGAACGTCTCCCCCGTTCCTCCGTAAGCTCTTCCCAGGCCCCGCTGGCTTCCCTTCCCTGGCCTTGTCCGGGACTTCGACCGCATGTCACTTGTCAGGCTCAGGGATCGCATCGGCTAGTGCTTTCAGTGATTCGACTTTTCGACTCATTGCGGCAGGGAGGACAGCGGCAGCGCCCTTCCTTTCCCTAAGTGTGCAGATGTTTTTAAGAGGTAGGTCGATACTAGTCACCATTCAGATCGTATATGTTTTATCGTAATAGCCTATGTTTAGTTAGTCCAAGGCCGTATAAGAGAGTTAGTCGTTGCCTTGGTTGCTTTGCTCAAGATTTTATTTGTTGTTTCGCTCGGAGAGAAGGAAAAATAAAATTACTGATAGTGGCGCATGTGCGACATTTCAAAAGTAAAGTGTTTTCATGCTGCCCCGAGCGCTGTTCGGCAGCCGGCTATTTTGTGTGCAGGGTATGACGTATTTCGCGAGCCGACGTCACAGGCGGTGACGTCGGCTCGCGCGCGAGCCGAGCGCCAACGACAAACTAACGGGAACCCTCGGACACCCTCGGGGCATAAACCGCGGAGTAGCATATTGAGCGAGTCTTATAAGGAAAATTCATATATTTTCGTTTCTCAAATGATAATCAGGGTGTCCCTTACCTTTTTACATATCATTTAGGCTTACCTAACACTTCAGTTGCCAAACATCTGCAATTTATTCAAGCCAAGGTATTCTCAGTAAATATCAATGGTATAGACCGAAATCTTTTAAATAAAAACTCCAACCAACAGAAATAAAAATAACTTAATTTATTCCAACCATTTCCTCCAAATAAACAACATAAAAACTCACTTTTACACACATCATTCATAATAAAGCATACTAACACGCCGCTTTTGACAATTGCGGCGTCGAGTGGCGCGCTGCTAGCGCTCTTTTTCGATCGCAGAGACCCTGCACGCGCGCGAGCACACTACGTCACGTCCGGGGGCACAGGTATATGAAAAATCGCAGTGACGTAACACTTTTCTCGCTTCTCATTGGTCAATAGCCCGTTGCCGGGGTAACGTGCACGTATGTGAGCGCGGGCAAGAGTACTAGCCGGCCGCCGATCAGGGCTCCGATTTCATGATTTTTGTCTGTATTTTCTTAACTTTTTTTGTCGAGATATATGGATGAAACTACTCCTATTTATGTAATGACTGTTTTGAAAAAGAAAAGAAACATTCTAGTAACGTGTTTTCAAGAATAAGAGCTTGCAACTAATATATCGGCTTCAAAATATTTTCTGCAGTTTGTCTTGTGAACTCACCTTACCTTTTGTTTATGTTTATATTGTGGACGTTGTGAATACTTCAACTTGTGGATACATTGGGCTTTGCGTTTTATTTTGTAACAATTTGCGAAAGGGGACGTGCGTAAAGAAGACGTGGATCAAAAGCATTTATTGATTTTGAATGTCACTGAAGTGGCATGGCAAATGCAGTGTTTTGATAAGCTGCAACTGGCTGCAACTCAATAATGATAAACATGGAGTGAGAGTGGACTCGTGTGGTGTCTAGTTATAATTCAATTTCATTTCAATATCAACCAGCACCAATTGTTGATCTATCTTTTATAATGATGAATTTGCTTAAAAAGTGGATTTTCTTCATTGCTTCTGCTCATATTTTTCTGGGACTTGTTGCTTTTGTTGGAAGTGAACTTCAGGCTAATAATGATGGTCAGGCCTGTCTCCAAGGGTCAAGTGAAGGTACCTATGTCACTGCTCTTTAGCAGTCGGGCACACTGTGGTATTTCCGATCCATTTATGGAAACGTTTCCATTTTTGGAACAATGTTCCAAAAATGGATACGCCGTTTCCAAAAATAGAAACAATCTGTTCCATAAATGGAGACGCTGTGTGCATCGCTACCTTTAAAGCAAACTGGGCATTGATTGGTGCAATTTGGCATGCGCGGGATGCCACCAATCGACAGCCAGCATTCTAGTTTATGTTCCTGTTCTTCGACTTTCCGATCAGAAAACCGAAAGTTGACGAACGAGGCGATGCTTATAACATGTTGACGTGATAAAAAATTCACACGTTTTTCTAATCGAAAATAATAACATTTATGAATGTTTTGAACAAAAATTAACGTTTTTAACAGACTACTGAAAGACTGACCCATTGATTGGAACAACCACATCACCGGGAACTTCAGTTTTTCATTCATTTTCACGCTGCGTTTTCCGGTGTACCAGCGGCCTGGTCGTCGTCAATCTTTGATTAAATCGCATGAATGTTGTTGCAAAGCCCTATTTGGAGACTTAAGTGGGCATTATATGATATTTCAAATGTGCTGAATATGATCGTAGGCTCGGTTCAACGTAAATCTCCGTGCAAATACGTAAAAAGCAGGATGGAAATAAGGTCTGCACCGTCGTCACACCAAATACCGTTGTGTTCTGACGATGAATTTATTCATTTTAGCTCATGTGTAACATTGATATTAATTTTATATATTGAAATGATATCTACGCTTTATGTATTGCCCACTTTGGACCACATCTGTCCAGTAGTTTCTGGGAAATCTTAGTTTTAGTTGACTTTTGAATGTGCTCAAGTTGCTGCGCGTAAGGTATTATTATCGAACCCGACGTCCAAGGTAACTGCCGAGAGCCGAGATGCTAAACCAGTCCCAAAACATCAAATTTTTAGTTGCATGTGAATTTTAAAAACACATTTAAGCTAAGTTTGCACACATTTGACTTCAGCGTTTCTATTTTTGGAACATCGGCGTTTCCATTTTTGGAAACTAAGTCTCCATAAATGGATACGATTCAGGAGCATTTTAAAGACGTGAATTTTAATGCATACCACAGCTTTCCATGCAAGAAGACAAGTGCTTTTGGTGTATCTGAGCTTGTTTTACGCGAAACAGTTGTTATACATCGAATCCAGCCACCCTCGGCAAGAAAATATGTGCGGAGATGTTAGCGTTTCTATTTATGGAACGAGCGTTTCCATTTTTGGAACAGAAGAGTAGTCAAAATTGGTAACGTTTCCAATAATAGAAACGTCTCCATAGATGAATCGGAGATACCACAGTGCGCCCGACTGTTATTATTATTTGTTACCTACATCCTATCAGTGATTGCTGCCTTCAAATTCCATTATAGATAGCATTGACCAAGGCATTTGATCCTTCATTTTTGTGCATGTCACAGTCATTACTGATTTTATATTGCTTAATGGTTAACTTAATCGGAACAAAATATCAAGCATGTTTTGATTTTTTATTGAAATATTATTGCTTGCACTAAACATATTGATAGCTGTATTTTTATAATTTTCCTTTTTTCAGATGCTGAAAGCTGCATACCAAGACAGATGGAGTCTGACTCAGGCAATACTCGTGCATCAACTTCCTTCAGTGGCACTCAGCTGAAAAGTGTAAGCCTTAGCTGACTACTAGCAAATGATAAGCCTGGGGCATTTGGACTAAAAAAAAAACAAGGAATACACTTCCACAATCCATGAACCAGTAGATCCTAGATATTTCATTTTATTCATGAAAAACAACAACAATATTAAATAACAATGAATAGATAGATTGGTAAATTTGCCAATCCGATATGGGCTCAACCATATATCCCAGAATAAGATTGAAGTAGTATGGGTGTACAAATTTGCCCATGCTGTATCCACATACCCCTCCACATGACATGACCATTTATGTTGGCTGTGTGTGCTGAGAATTAAAAGGGATTGTGCTTATCTGTGTACTGGTAGATGTTCATGGCTTTATTTGGATTTTTTTAGGATCTTAGGTATTTTCATGCAAATGGGGCTGGGTTATCTACATAGAGATGGTTTACTTATTTGCAAACTATTTTATAAGCTAACTACCTATTCAATTAGTAAAATAAAGCTCTTGGGCATGCATGTCAATGTGTTAAGTGATAAGCATTCTTGAGATTGAAATAGTAGGTTTGAATGATTAATAGGTATGGTACCTACCCTACATTTGCTTTTTCTCTATACAATACCAATACAATGAACTTGCCTTGGTGACATGGAATGGAAGGAATACTTATATGTATACACTTGACTATGCACTTGCCTCATTGGAGTATGTCTTCCACCTGAATGGCAAGTGCTTTAGCTACAGGATGTTTTAGGAACTTCAGACCAGACTGGTGTGTAACTACGGTCAGTACCTGGGCATCAGCACCTGTCTGTGTGTTTCAGCCCGCTGACCCGGCACCGGCGGAGGCAGAGTGGTCGGAGCCGCCGTCCGCGGCCGACCGCCAGTGCTCCGGGTCGTGTCGCCGCCTGCCGCCGCCCTGTCTCAGCTGCCGGTTCAACAGCTCGTGCGTGTACGGAGCCAACGTGACGGTGCGCTGCCGACCGGCGGAGGGCGTCAGCTGCACGGTGAGCCCGCCGGTGACGCTGAATACGCGGTGACGTGTGGACGTCTCTGGTCGAAACGAGCGACTGAACGTGAAACGAGTGACCAAATGTTACCCTAATATGCTTGCTACTCAAGGCTTCCTGCTTACATGAGTGACTAAATTGCTACTGCCGATTGACTTCTTACATAAAAAGTTGATGAAATGCCAACTGCAGTAATTTTGTACCGAAGCAGCCCATAAGCGAAATTACAAATGGGATGCTCATTCATCCTTTATCCGTCGCTTACGCTACCTTATATGATCTGAAAAGTAATAACATCGTGTTACTTCATATTCTTGCGAAACATGGGGCCAATCGGGCTGGCATTGTAAAATCACGTTCCCCGTCGTCGGTCGTCGTAGTCGTGTGGCCCGTGAACGTGAGAACCGATATACCTATTACCTACCAGCTAAAGACTCTGGCCGAGGTCTTGCCACCGGTAATGGCAAACAAGCTATGGCTTGGGTTATACCACGTCACTATGATCACTCATCGGCCTGATTGTCTGTTCGTTTCAGGGTCGAAATGACTCGTTCGACCGGACGATGGTGTGCGCCTATTGTTACCAGACGCCCGTCTGGCAGCACAGCTGCAGCATGTGCGACGCTTCGGTGGTGCACAAAACGCCCGGACGCAAGTTCTACAGGTGAGTTGGCCGATGACCAGGTAGTGGTCTCCGGCTGTCGATGCGGTATGCGCCTCGGTTACTACGACAGCGCCACCTATGACACGCGTCCGTGGATCTCTAAACCTTCTCCGCGCTCCAGCCAATGTGGTCTGAATGGTCTTTGAAGCCCATGTTGACTCGTTAAAAATGCAGTCGAAATATGGTCTCTCGGAGTCAATAGTGTACCGTATTGCTGTTTCCCTGAGCGTCAAGACAGTGAATGCCAATATATTACATGTAATGGGCGACAGCTGAAATTGTAATACTAATGCAGCGTATCCGTTCGCGGCAACCGTTGTACCCTGTCGTGCTACTCTCTTCACCACAGTGTCCTCACTTCTCCGACCCCAGGGCCAACTGCACGGTGGACGAAAACGTTCTGTGCATGGGCAACCGGACGTTCTACAAGCGTCTGGTGTGCAAGTGGACCAAGGGCGACCGGTGGAGCACCGCGCTCACGCTCAGCATCATACTGGGAGGCTTCGGCGTCGATAGGTGAGCGGTGGGAGGGACTGATGGCCAACAACAACATTTCCAACAACGCACTATTCACCCATCAGTGATGGGTGAGTAGTGGGACGGGTGGGTAGGTAGGCGAGAGATGGGACGGGTGGGTGGGTACACTATCATATGTAGATCAAAAACGTTCATACTTCAATTTACGAATTTTAGAATCTTTACACATATTTGAAGCGAAACTGACCATCAATGACCGATCATCTGAGTTTGGTATTTATCGTGTTTTACAATCGCTTGTATTGGACATCCAGTGACATGTTAACAAAAGGGTTGTTCTCGTCATTGTGGTGTGTCATTTGTGCAGTGTGCACGACCCTTTTCAACGACTCGTGTCGTACACGAGCCTCTATAGACCCACCGTTCTCTATTCACACGTCTTCTCCCCGGTAGGTTCTACCTGGGCCACTGGCAGGAGGCGATCGGAAAGTTCTTCAGTTTCGGCGGTCTGGGCGTGTGGACACTGATCGACGTGGTGCTCATCGCCATCGGCTACCTCAGTCCCGCTGACGGCTCGCTCTACATCACGTGACCGGCTGCCGTAACAACCGACCGTGTCACGTGACTCTGTGCGGAACGATGGAGCCATGGCACGTGACAGACCGTGCGACAGCTGGCCGTGTCCCGCGAGTGATTGCATCACGGACGTTCTGAATGGCGGGAGTGGCCGTGGCGCTGACTGCAAACCACATGAGCCATGCCGACTGTATCTAGACTGTGCCCAGTCGCGTGTCATCCCTGCTCAGCGTTAGTGCGACCGGCCGTTAAGTCAGAGACGGATTTATCGGACACGTGACTGGCACCTACGTGTCTGACTCGATGTGTGTGAGTTGGCAAGGTTCAGCGGACTCCTCAGTATGAAGTGGATGAGTGGCGGTGGCCGTCCTGCTGTCTAGTGATGGAGGGAGACTTCAGTAGCAGCGGTCCCTTTTTTGAGTCTGTGTTGAGTGGTCGCTCGGCAGTCCCCGTGATCTCTCATCGGGATGGGTTGGTGCCTGGAGGTTATTCATTCACACCCATCATTTTCCGCACTTCTCGGTGTCGTAGACAGCGCGGGGTTCTCCGACCCGCAGTACCGGTTCCGGCGGATACCCGCAACTGAAGTGATTCCGCGACCTTTGTACGGTCTCCCATTGGTCGATGGGAGTGGGTGGGCCGGGGCAGCTGACCGGCGCCCCTCGCCGCCCGATACTGCCCCCGCAGCTCCGCTCTAATCTGCACACACGGATTACTGCGGACGGCCGCGATAAGGGCGTTTTTGCCAGTCGAAGGTCGTGCTATCGCGACAGGCCCGAATGAGCTACGGGCGCGCTGCCGGACGCCGGTTATTTATCGCCCCGGACCGGATCGCTCGCGCGGGACCGAACTGTGCGTCTAAAGGCGGTTAGACACGGTGCGTAGAGCTGAGAGTAATGGCATTAAGCGATGAAAGAAGCTGTGATATTGTTTGGATGTTAAGTGGTGTAGATTCGGATTTGTTTCTTGATGCTGTACAGTGTACAGCACAATGTTGCGTCGTGTCATCAAACAACACGACAAAATGCTAATATGAACGTAATACATCTGGACTATTTTTGTCTTTTACCGAGTTTGTTCCCGAAAGTTCCAATAGAACCGGACATCGGCCCCCGCTGGCAGATAAGCAGCATTTTTTTCTGCCTATTGTCACCGTCTCAGACTCAGTTGACACTCGGCTGTTGACCGACAAGATAGCGCTGCTTGCGTCACTCCCTACCCTCCAAGTCGAGTGCTTTCGCCGGATGGTATTCAATGACACCAACTAACAAGTACCACGGCTTCAATGTATTTATCGGCTCCGCCCTCTCACCGTCCGGCTGCCGCCACCGCCCGTCACCCGCCGGACAGTCGGCTAGACCGGCGGCCGGCTGAACGCTGTCCGAGGCACACCGCGGTCCGGCCGACACGGCGTCGGTTCGGCGCCCCTCCGCGAAGTATGAGCAATCAAGGTGTTTAAATGCTGGTGGTATACGCTCATCAGATAAGCCGTACCATGCATATGCTAGGGTATGTGTCACACAATACTGGAATTCGTAATATATACATCATCTGCATGCATGCCGATTGTGAATACCTAGCTGGAACCATATCCGAAAGACTGCTGAGACGCACAGCCAGCCAACCAACGAACAAGACCGCACCATACGCCTATTCACCAACTATCGATTGCCTAAAATACTGGGGCGAAGCGGGGCCCAATAACATGTCCTCAAACGAGCTGGCTCTGGATGGGCGGAGTGCCGCCGCCACCCGACCGGCAAGTAATTGGCATCGTTCTCACAGCGAGATGTCTTTACGGCGGTGCACCGCGCCTATCCGACCTTAGTCCTGCTTGGTGACGTGGTCGGCGGCCATCTCCCGAGCTGGAATAGACGAGAGCGTGGTGTCACCAATCAGTCGGACGGCAGATCAGAAGTCGAGGCATTCGGATAGGGAATGGAATATGCCAGCAAAAAAAAAAAAAACATGCGTAGCAGCAAAGACGCACACCAGATCCATGGCGTTACGAACCAAAAAGCACGTTACTTAAAGTGGAAGCAGCAAATCACGATACTTGAAGTGGAAGCCTGGTGGAAACAGCAATACAGTTGGGGAAAACAGTGGGAATGGACCGACAGAGCGTTTAGCTGTGTGGGGAATGAATCCAGAGAACCGATATTTTTTACAATGACCGCAAGTCACAGAAAATCAAGGGCCAGCACAGCACCGGACACCTATCGCGTCTCATCCGAACCAACTCAGAAACGTCTACAAACGTTCAGCCCGGAGCTTTCGGCGCTATCACGTACCTTTCTCAGCAGAGAGATCGACGTACTTCTTGGCCTTTTCGGCCACCTCGTTGGCGATATCGTCCACCTGCGACTCGTACTTGAGGAAGTAGGGTCGGATGAGCTGGCGGTACACGACCAGGCTGCCGTTCCAGGAGGCGGGCGCCGCGCACCAGGCCAGGAACAGACACTTGAACAGCCAGTAGAACGGGAACCAGCTGAGCAGGATGTCGGAGAAGAACTCGACGGTGCCGAACACGGCGTACACCACCCAGTAGGTCAGCCACTGGGTGTCGTCCTCCTTGCGGGTCGACTCGAGCGCCTTGATGGACGCGTACGCCGGGTAGACGAACGCGATCAGGTTACAGAGTAGGCCGGCGCCGTAGCCGAAGGCCAGGTAGAGCAGAACGAACGCGATGGCGCCTGCGGAGGAGAGGAGACGATGGTTACTTGTCGTTGAAATAATCGCACATAGCATTGAGCGTGGGCGTACCTGTTTAAATATAGCTGATAGAACACATCAAGCAATTGTCTGTTGACTCAATTACGGAAACAAAACTATCAGCGGATCGTCTTTATTCAAAACAATTGCAGTAAATCATTGAGCAGCGAGCACCTGAGAACATGCTTGCAATATTTGGCGAATATTCCCGAAATGGCAGAGCGTAATCGGGCCGCCCGGTTCTCATTAGCTTCCGGTTGGACCACCCGACAGCCGGCCGGCCGCGGGGGTCAAGGGTCAAAGGTCATGGGGCGTGAGACAATGGACAGCCGGAATGTGGGAACTGCGACGCAACAATTAGCATGTGACCCGTGCATTGAACAAAGACGACGGCGCAGGAGCGGAGCAGACTACAGAGGGTAGTAATATTAGGGACGGCAGCATAGACAGAATACTTCTGAGGGCAGATATGAAGTGGATGGCGAACGGAGCCTGTGGCCGTAGAACAGCTAGCTGGGACGGACTGGATCCGGAAGTCAGACTAAACGTGCGGAAGTACAGTAACGAACATAAATACACATAACACATTCAATATTAAACAGCTACGTCCGAAAAAATATATCAACACTGCTAGTAAGCATTCCTAATAAGAATTCATCTGATAACCTTTCCCAATAGGTATTGATCTGGTAGGTTCGGCGCCGCAGCCGCAGTCCCTGCTGCAACTACCGTTCGATAACTTTGTTCCCACGGTGACTATCGCTATGATTTTAGCACATCATTTCATCTGTAACTGGTAACGATTCACTCTTCGAAATCATCTTCCGAGAAGCTATTTCATACGACCGCCGGCGCCGGGCGAACTGAACTCAGAAACGAGCGCTGATTCGGACTGATGACAGAGTCTCTATAAACAAACCGGTCCAGATTCCTCGTTACGCAAGCCGCAGAACCAGTCTCCGGACACGGACAATACTCATTCTCGGCCCTTTTCCTCCGTACCAGCGGACCTCCGTGCCGCGTCTCCGTGAACCTTTCAGCGCCACGTCACCGTTCCCCGTCGTAACGCGCTTCCTGTCCAAGGCGATTGCGAAACATTTCTAACTGACAACACATCCCGTTAAAACAGGTGAACGACGTAGAGGCTGGTGCATGCGCCCTTATAAAAGTTTCCGTGTGATTAGCAATACCGTTAGTTCCTCACAGCGCACCGACAACTCAGAGAGGCCCTTACTTGTACCGTCACGTAGCGCGACTAGTTCACAGGATGACGTCAGAGCTGTGATTGAACATCTGGAGCGCGCAGATGGCCGAGCCGACAAAAACCCTCGGCAACAACTAACAAACAACTGCTGCGGCCGGCCGGGCCCCCGCCACGTCTGTGCCACGTCGACAGTTTGCCGCCGCCAGGACGACACGTCGCCAATCCCAACATCGGACACGTCTCTATGTGCTGGCTAGATCAGAGTTCGGATGACTCATCGGGACCTTGAGTGGTAGTCTCAGTGCCGGTCAGCTCTCAGCCGCTGTGATCAGGTGGCGGTGACGCACGGATAATGAGCGCCCAAAACAGGTGTCTCACCCAGACACTGCCACCTGTGGCAGCGGCGGTGATGCATTGCACTGGCACCTGTGTCTGCCACAACTGTACGCACAGCTGGAGCAGATGACACACACGGCGCCGTGACCCGACCCCTCTGACCTACCGTACGCAGCCAGGTTGGCCGGCTGAGCCGGGCTGAAGTCATGCTCATCGAGCCACAGAGGAACGGCCATGGCGTGCGGCGGAGACGGCGCGTCGGCGGCGACTGGCGGCGCGGCCCGGCCAGGTACCGCCGCCGGCCGGATTTGCGGTGGTTCCGTCACGGCCAGCCACGCCGCCGGCAGTCCGCAGACGGACGGAAGCCGCACCGGGCCACGTGGCCGGCGTGGGAGCCGGGCGGGGCACTGTCGTGACCGAAGCAGGGGAGGTGCCGCGAATCGACAGTGGAACTAGCGGCCACTGCAGGTATGATCGGATGCAATGCCGTATTCTACAAACAGCCGGCATCAATAGAAATTAAAGTAGCAGCAGCTGGCAAGAACTTTAGAACGCTGTAGCAATGCTAACATATCGGACGATCTGAGCTATGACAGTGCTGCCAATGGCAAACAGGCAATTCCCTCTTGCCCACACAGTTCATGGAAGAAGCATCTCTCACCACCGCTAATACCTATAGCACCAGACAAGTGCTGACGCTCCCAGTATCACTATCGAGCTGTCAAAGTTCACGTTTGCGTCACTGCTGTAGTCTACAGCTGATGCGCTTCTGCCGAGTCACACGAGCTGCCCATCCCACTGACAGCGGCCTCGTGCAGGCAACGGCACCAGCGGCCACAGAGGACATTACCTGCGATCCTCTCGCGATGTTTGAGCACGAACGGCCGCGCCTTGGCGACCGGGTCGCTGAGGGCCGGTAGGCGGGCGTCCACCGTACGCTGGAGCCAGTCAAAGGCGGCTTCCAGCCGTCCGCCGGCTGCCGAGCCGGCGGCATTCACAGCTGATTTGGCGGCGTCCACAGCCGATTTGGCAGCGTCTGCAGTTGAGTCTACAGCGTCCACAGTTGAGTCTGCTGCGTCCACAGTTGAGTCTGCTGCGTCCACAGTTGAGTCTGCTGCGTCCACAGTTGGTTTGGCGGCGTCCCCAGCCGAGCCGGCGGCGTCCATGGCCGGGCCAGAGTCCACCTCAGGTCTGTCGTCTGTCTCCTGGTGCGCGGCGCTCTCAGCCATGGTGGTGGCGTGCCCGTCGGTCGGTCCCGTCGCAACTGACGCACAGCTCGCCGCCCGGGGTGAGGTGAACAGAGAGCACCTGTGTCGCCACTCGGCCGCTCAGGTGGTCGACACTTGCGGGGCCGCCGACTGATGACAGGCTCACAGAGGGGTAGATATAGCCACTCGACGGCCCGTGGCAGAGACGGAGTGTTCGGCCAGATACCCACGGCACTCTCAGCGCCGGGTATTGTGCACCGAATCACCGGTCCGACCAACTGAGTCCAACAGTCGCGCTACGGTGCTGTTCTTGGCGCCGGTTTGAGGAAAGTTGCGGGACTGGGAAAACCGGACGAAAGCGCCTCTTCCTCAAAGCTCCCACTGACAGCCGAAAAAACGACGGTGAATATTAACAGAACTTATCATGAATCATACTTTCTGGAATTTACCTTTGGCACTCAAACAATCATGTAATGCTTTTCTCATAGCATAGACATCCAACAATTTCAACAATTTCAGAAACCTATTGAATTTTCGATGAAAGGAAACATAAATAGTTCTTTTTATTAAAAAAAATTACACTTACAATGCGCAATTATAAGCTAAAAACACCACTAGTGTAATATTTTATTAGCTTACTAGTGCCTTAACATTTCCCTGGATTAAAATAAGTGATTAAGCAAGGTATTCACTGAATCCTCTTGTTAAAAGTCAGGAGGCATAGACAAGTTTAGGTGCAAGTGACTAAACTATTAACCCAATGCTCTATATAACAGAAGTTGCCAAAAAGCTGTTGAACAAGACTGAAGCTGATATGATGTGGCCCTTCTTTAATCCTGATCTAAGTTACATATATTTTATGTAGATTGTGAATACATTTGGCATTTAGCAAGTGGAATAGTCATCAGAAGTAGGTACCTACATATTTGATTTTGCTTCTCTTTTGACCTCACCAAGTAACCATAAAATAGAAGCTAGATACCATGTGTTAAACTAACTAAAAAAGTATTGTCACATGGTTAAATAGGTAGGTAACTTTAGCATGATGTCAATCACAAGCCACAGTGCATATCTATTTATATATCAACATTATCAGACACTGGTGCACTTCTTTGCCGCCATTATGCCAAATCAATATTTGTGCAAATCAAAGTGGCATGTACTACAATCATGCCATTACACAAATATGCATCCTCTCGCTCCCGCACCTCACGCGGGTGGCGCGTGAGGTGCGGGAGCGAGACGGTGACCGCGTAGTACCGTGCCGGCTGCCGCGTGTGGGCTCGTGCGGGTTCACAGTCCGGCCTGTGGACATCGATATGCTGCGCAGGGTGGTGTTCTCCATGCGAGGCACCTCTGCGTGTGGACTCGACGGGGTGTCGATCAAGATAGTTAAGCTGTGTTTTGATGTGATTGGTCCGATCTTACAACATGTTATTAACAACTGTCTGACCCGAAACGACTTCCCTGGCTCTTGGAAGCATTCTGTGGTGCGACCCATTTTCAAGTCAGGTGACCCGACTTTGCCGGCCAATTATAGGCCGATATCGCTTGTGCCCGTCATCGCCAAGATCACTGAGCGGATCGTCCAGCGTCAGCTCCATTATTACCTCTCTAGCAACTTTCTTCTCTCGGACAGTCAACATGGATTTCGGCCCAACCATTCGACTGCTTCCGCTCTTATTAACGTCTCCGATAGTATACTCTCAGCCATGGACAACAGCGAAATTTCTCTCCTGTGTCTCATTGACCTAAGTAAATGCTTTGATATCATCAACCATTCTAAATTACTTGACAAGCTCCAACTACTTGGGATTGACGCTGGATGGTTCCGCTCATATCTTGAGGGCCACACACAGAGTGTATGCATCAGTGATGGTAGGGGTCACCGCGTACTCTCCAAGTCACTGCCAAACCATGTTGGTGTGTTCCAAGGCTCGGCCCTCGGGCCTTTGTTGTTCACTTGCTTTGCGAACGACATGAGCCTGCATGCCCTTGATGCGCGTATCGTTCAGTACGCTGACGATACGCAGGTGCTCGTCAGTGGCCGTAGGACAGCGATGAGCGACACAGTGACTAGAATGGAGACGACCCTGGCAGCCCTCAGTGACTGGTTTGCGGCCAATGGGTTGAAAGTCAATGCCACCAAGACTGAATTGATTGCGTTTGGCAGCCGGCAGAGCATGCGCAACCTGCCTGACATAAATGTAAGATTTAGAGACGCCGTCTTGAAACCGTGTCAAAAGGTCAAGAATCTGGGCGTGACCTTCGATTCTTACCTCACCTGGGATGACCATGTTGCTGCCATTGTTGGTAAATGTTTCGGAGCGCTGATAGGATTGAGCCAGGTGCGCCACTACATACCAGAGGAAACGATTGTGACGCTTGTGACTGCCCTTGTTCTCTCACATGTGCGGTACTGCCTGCCCGTTTACGGGAACTGCTCGAAAGGGAACCTCGCACGACTTGATAAGGTCATTAATTTTGCCGCAAGGGTTGTGTCTGGCCGTCGCAAATATGACCACGTGGCTGATGTAAGGGACGCGCTGGGGTGGCTCTCGGCTGGTGACCTATCGTCGTACGATACGCTGGTGCTACTGCACAAGGTTATCCGAACGGGCGAGCCAGCTGACATTGCCGCTATGTTTCGCCGAAATGAGGAGATGCGCGAGCGAGCGACTAGACGGGATAGCAGGCTGTGGCTACCTGGCATCCACACAGAGGCGGGGCGTCGAAGGTTCAGCTACCGTGCAGCCATGCAGTACAACGCTCTGCCCAGTGATTTTCCGGACATGTCAACAAACAAGTTCAAATCATCGCTCAAACGTCGCTTTCAACACTGATTTAGGCTTATGCATATGGGTTGCATGTATGTCAGCTGAAATCTATTCATGCATAGCCATGCGTTTTGGTGAGTTTTGTGTGATATGTTGAGTGTGATGTCTTTTTGTTCCATTCTCATATGACGCGGGAGCGTAATAGCCACAACTACCTGTGGATGCCCCCCAGATGTTAAATACAATACAATACAATACAATACACAGCCTAGTGGACAACATGCTGGGCTCCCATCTTGATAGCAGCAAGCTTATCCCATTACTACCATAATTTTATTCCACCATCCAGCCTTTGGCCGGCATTCCAGCTCATGGAACTTCAATGAACAACTTCAGAAATATTTGCTGCAGTTTTGGGGCACTATACAAGTGAATAAAGCTGACAAAACACATGTGCTGTGGTAAAACATTGCATAGGTACCTCCACAATTAATATTCAAGAATTGACCTTGGGTCATATATGACCCACCCAGCATTAATGGGTTAAAAGGTCTACATCTACTCAGATGGTGCAGACTGCAGGGTGTTATTTCACATCCATTGCTATACAAATTAGATGGTAACTGCTGAGAGCCATGATATAAAAAAACCTAGAGAATCATGTTGTCCTGTGCCTACAGCCTACAAAACATTGCACTCTTGACATTTCTGGCACATCTTTTGGCAGCCCGAATTTTTATCCTTCTCAATTCTCTTCCAAAGAGTAAGCAAGGGTAAGGAAACCCAATGGGTGGGCTGTACATGTGAGCAGGCTAAAAAATTCACCATTGAACTGGGCGAGGGAGGACTTATGTGACAGGGTTGTGTTTGTTTGTTTGTTGGGGGTTTGTTTGTTAGTTAAGGGTGCCAACTGCAAGATCATTTTAAGCCCATTGGCAGGGTTGTGGGTTTAAGGCATTACACAACAAGAAACACTTCTGTCTAGGTCTCCGAAGAGTGGAATCCAGACCCAACCCAACCCATTCCATACGTAAGATTAAATTATAAAGCTAAAAATATTAAATAATGATTCAAAAAGTTCTGCACTTGGGCCATTACAAATTACCAAATAGTAATATAGGTACCTACCTGCAACGATGTACAGACGGCGAACACCAGTTTTGGTTTCCAGAGTTTCCAAGTGCTCCGTGAACATGTTCTTTTGATGCAATTTCACATCAATATCCTTCATCAAATTGTTAATTCTTTCAGTCATGATGAGCACTCTTCCTTCTGGCCAAAAACGATAAGAACGCGAAAAAATCCCACCGCGCGCGGACAAGACTGGGAACGGAAAGAGCGGAAATGGGCCGTCTGAGTTTAAGCCGGCTAATCATTTGTCTACTTTGTCACTTCTTTCTCGCCATTTATGGCGCAACTCATCCAAACATAACAACTTTGTTCAATGACATTTCTTTGACGTCAGACTCTAGTAATTAAAATTATTTTATTTTAAAAGTGCTTTTTATTTCACTTCAAATATATATTACTGCCATAATATCTCAAATTATTTCAATTCAAACCATAACATTCCTCATTACATCAACGTGATTACAAATATATACCATGATGTCACTTGTGTGACTGCCTGCTGTTGTGCAGCCCGCATGATAGAAGCTTTATTGCCTGCTCAATAGATGGCACTGTGCACGAGCGCCTGAAGTTAGGCAGTACCGCATTACATATCGCACCTTGGTGGGGTTCTTCAAAGTGAGAAAGAAGCACATATGGTTTAAAATCGATATTTTCTAGACAGTCGAACAACTGAAACAAACCATGTTACCCCTGATCAAACCAGCAACAACTGAGCCAGGTGAACTGAAACAAACACCATATCTGTCCAAAGTTATACGCTGGTTAGGGGTCGATAACTTGACCCGGAATCTGAGTCCAGGTCTGTATCCAAATACTGTGGAGTCCGGGCAGCCCATTTCGTTAGCCCACGCAACTCTGGGCAGGGGCGGATCCAGCCGATCCGTTTCGGGAGGGCGAAAGTCTCCGACCTATACGGCGACCCCGACCCACTGCCGTACCGGTGACCAAGCGACTTTACAACGCCACACTACACCAGCATACATTCAGTTGAGGGAGTCCCATCTTTTATCAGCATACCGATCCAAATCATCATTAGCGAGCGGTCAGCTCCTTTCTTCAGATTGACCGTCACGGAAAGTCCTGCTTTTCGTCCAGATAGGCATCGACGTCGTCTTAGATTTTCTCATCTTTGGGAGGGGTAAAAAAGTCTTGCCCACACGAATTAGCTTTGGTGAGGGCAAATGCCCATTTTGCCCTCCCCTGGATCCGCCACTGCCTCTGGGCTCCTGGATTTCCACGCCCTGCTGGGGGAGGGGGGGGGGGGTAGGAGCACCCCTCCCCCTTCTAACTCGGCTCTTTGGCCACCTAGCGACACGCGGTAAACGACGATCGAAAGAGCGTCGAGAATAATGAAGAAAAAACCTCGGTCACTTTTTGATTAGTTCAAAGTTCATGTCACCAAAGGTCACCGAAGGTCACTTACCAGGTCAGACTTGGATAATTTTCGACAAAACCGGCACATAGCTCAGGAACAGATAGGGCCACAGCGCCGCGGAAAAGCGCAATCGATAGCTCTTTTAACGTTCTCTCGGCGTAATTCTCTCAGCTTTAACATAAGGTCAACGCTTTAGTCTGCAGGGCCAGGGGGCAGAACTGCCAAAACAGACGTTTTTTGCGGGAACAATTTTTCTGCAATACCGTTTGATTTAAAACTTGCATGTGCTTACTTTTAGCAGCATCGTGGTTATCTCATCAAGACGCATCGAATGAACTGTAAGTTAACCTCGAAAGGTCAACTTGAATAGTTGACCTAAGGTCAAGGTCATGACCTGGCCGGAAAAGGCCATATTAGCCGTTTTCACGACGAGCTATCCGGGGAATGCACCTAATTTGACCAAATCTGGACCTAATATGTACCAGATGTGCACCAAATGTGTACCAGATGGCCGTCGTGAAAACAGCTATTGCATATCAGTCGATCCGTATCGTCGAGCTGAATATATATCTAAGGCGTTTTCGTTGCTCTAGCGTGCCGCTATCAAAAGTTATTAGCGAAAAACTGTTAGATATTATTCGTGACCTAAGATGACCTCGGGGACATGATGAGGAGTCACGCACGGGTGCCATTTTTTGGTTCATTGTGTCATGTTTACTTTTGATTCGGTGTTTGAAAGTGTTTAGGAAGGCGTCCGCCCACTCGGTGAGTTTAGCATATCCTGCCAGTTTGAATCAACTCGATAAACAACTCTAGATTTCATGAAAAAATAGTGTATTTTTAGTGTCATTTTGACCATGTACCGGTTTTTGTAACCTTGTGACGGCCTGATATCACTGCAACTCGAAACACCCAAAACACGTGTCAAATTACACCTGCTCCAAGAGCTATTCGGCCACCAAGTGATCTCCAAGAGAAGCGGAAAGCAGTGTGCACATCACAGTCCTGAACTCAACCCGCTGGACTACTGGTTTTTGGAAGCCTGCGAGGACAGCGTCTAGCAACAAGCCCAGTAGCCTGGAGGAGCTGCGTCTCAGCGTCGAGCAGTATACGCGCGTGAAGTGCCAGCAGACACCGCGGAGAGGGAGGGCGCCAGCTTCCTGGAGCGCGTTTAGATGTGCCTTGAGCGTAGATTTGCCCACTTCTAGCACATACGCAAAAAAAGACAAACAGATCCCATTTTTGAAATGATGATGGCAACATCAGTTCGACTGAAAATTTGTCCACCTAATGGGTATCATATAATTTATCAAGCAATTTTCTTTAAGCTGTGAAAGTTTCTTCTTCGTACCTTTTACCACTTTCGGGAAATCACTGCTGAAAAATGACGCGATTTTTGCCCACCCTGTATTGTCGCAATTTGTGTATGAAATTTGGTGGCGCTACGTGCCACGGTTCTTAGATTATTAACGAAATAACACTGTGATTCCGTTGCCGCTTAACTTGTCTTGTCCGATTGTTGAGCCTGGCCTTTTACTGGTTTCCGTGACCTGGTGACCTGACCTGAAATGACTGAGACCGAAATTTTCAGGGAAGGCGCTAAAGCGCTGCTCCAGAGCGTACCTATGCCAGATTTGGCGGCGCTACGCGCCGCCGTTTTTACGTTATTTTAATAAAAAAAAAACTTAGGAGGGGCTTGCATCAACCCCCTGGCCCGGCAAGGGTTAAGTTGCAAGCACTACCTGCAGCAAAGTTCTTCATAGCAAAGCATAAAACGTGGTAATTCCTTGGTGAGGTCATAGGTCAGGTTACGACTGGTCCGGTAGTCTGTGAAGCAGTCTGTGGCCAAAACCTGCTAATTCCCCCTAATCCTCAAATGCTATGGCTCTAAAATGATCTGAACCAACGAGACGGACCTACACATCAATGCATGAAAACAATCAAATGCATATACGTAAAATCACAAAATAGCGCATACCTACCTTGAAATGTGCTTTATCCATTTTGTCTCTAACATTATAAACGTTACGACCTGAATCTGATAAATTTTATTATCCAATAGCTCAGGATTAAACGGTTCGGTTCAGCAATCCTGCAGCATCCGGTCCTAAGTGCAGCGCTTCGAATCATGACATTTGAGTAATTTCACAGTATCGGTGAGAAACGTTCACCTGCCCGCCGCTAAGACCCTTTTAAGCTCCAATCCGGTGGGTACTCCCGAACACGTATGTCCGTTGACGTCTCATGAGGCCCGCCCTCCTAACTGGCTCCCAGAGGGCATCGGGGAGGCCCGCCGACCTCCACCGTCCAGGGGTGGGTCGCCCACGCGCTGCGCTAAACCGTCAGGAAAGGAAGCGTCTTCCCAGCACGCTGAGACGGTATTCATGTATGCATTGCGAGCGTTCAGCTGTGCCGTCTGCAGTCGATGACCACTCAGGGCTGAAGAGGTCGGGTCACCGGGTCGCCAAAACTCAGCTGAGAGCTGAAAATCACCGGCGCATCCTCGGCGCGGGTCACACGTGGGCGGCTGCTCACTGATGTGGATCTATTTTGTAGGTGGCTAGTACTGGAGACGGGTTATGCTAATGCGAAAGAAAAGTTTCATACCCTGAACTCGATTCAAATATGAGGCTGTGTTATCTTTTTTATAATCAAATGACTCGTCCTAATATTTTGAGGAGCGATTGTCCACGTAGTAGGTAATTATGTTTGCATGCTCAGTGGTGATTCTTTAAACTTAAAACGCTTAATACCTTATATTGGTTATCCTTCAACCGTACCACTATATACATAGATATATAGTGGCCTATGCTTCAACAAATAGGAGAGACGTTTTGTGGACATTTAATTTTGCTGAAATGTGGCTTTTGAGCTATTTCAACGCAGGTCCCCACTGTGACCGAGCTGCCGTTAGCACCAATTACAAAGCGCCCAAAGCCTTTGGATGGTCGATGGCTTTGATTGCGCTTAGAGACTTTGATCTTTCCGACTTCACAGGCTACTTCGGAAGAAATTAAACAATACATAGTCCTTCGAAACCTTTTCCGTCTAGGGCAACGGCATTTCTTTTATTCTCTGTCGATAGGTTTCACTTCAGGTACGCTCTCATTGCACATTTAATCCATAGGAATAGAGCAGATGCGATTGCCGGTTAGGTCGTTACACGTTGTCAGGTTGAGGTATCTCAAAATTGTTATGTTGATATGTTGGATACATTATTTCGTGCATGGCGCTCCTTATTCATTATTTACATAATCCTGTAAATAAGTAATTTTTACATTTTGGTAAGGCACTAATCCCAAAATACACCATTCTCTGCACGTGCAGAGTGCACATCCTGACCAATGACCATGACCAATGACCAATCCCCCTGCCCGGTGTGGACTGCACCCTGCCGTTGCTCTCTGGCTCGCCGGTGTTGCCGCGGACCGCCGGGGGCTGTGGCTGCGGGCGGCCGCCGACCGCCGTCAGTTGCCGCCCGTCCGTGCCGGTGTCGGTGTCGCCGCGGCCGCTCCTCCCCTCGGCGCAGTGATGGGTCGGACCGGGGCCGGACCGGACCCGCGCGGCGGTCAGAGAGGTCACCTCCCGTCGGCCGCCGGTGCCGAGACCATGTGACTGCGGCGCCGCCGGCCACCATGAGGCAGGGAGTGGGGGCTCTGGCGACCCTGCTTCTTGTGGGCTTGGTCCTCGCTCTGGATACAGGTGAGAATCCAGCGCAGATATTGAGGCCGGACTGAGGTCATCAGCTGGCCATCAGCAATCTCACCAACCGCACTTGGTGAGATTGGGCCCAGGTTGTCCCAAAATTAAGTTCGCATAACTTGGTGAGATTGGGCCAAGTGCCCAACCTCACCAAGGTAGTTTAACCCTCGCACGACCAGGCCATTTCTCATAACACGAACGATCAGGGGGGGGGGGGTTGTTACGACCCCCCCCCCTGGCGTTTTGAAACGGAAGGTCGTAGAGCTTAGCGGAAAAAAAACCAACGGGTTGCTCTCAACGAGATCTCGCGATTGGTGGTATATCTTTTGGTCCTAGGTCAACATTTGACCTACTTATGACCGGTCAAAGGTCAAATTTTCCGAAAAAATCAAACTTTTTCAACTTTCCGCGGCGATTGCGGCAAAACGGTGGGAGATATCGACTTGAAACCTTCACTATCGTATTCCTTGATCAATTCTCTATCGTTTGGTATGTATTTCGTTTCCCTAGCTCTAAAAATGGCGCGTTGGGAGCGCCGGAAGTCGGCAAGGTCACAGTCGGCGGCAGAAATTCGAAAAATCAAAATTTAAATTTTTGAAATATGATTGTATTTTTGGATTTGGGAGGTCCATTTGCTCCCTATAGAAGCTAATATTGCTGCATATTCCCATTGAGGTGACAAGAATTAGCAAAATAGTGGTTCGGGCGCTTTTCAAAAATAGTACCGGACGCTGTTCCTCTTGTGACGTCATAGCTCCGTGACCTGACCTGACCTGGTCAATTTTCTTGCACCACACGATAGCCAATGCTTGCCCCAACATGCATGGGAAGTTTCATCATGATCCATCAAACAATGTGGGTATCACCGGCAGAAAACCTAGGGATTCGGCGCACACGTTTGGTAACTGTCGGCCGGAGGCTGTACCTCTTATGACGTCATAACTCCGTGACCTGACATGACCCGATCAATTTTTTTCGGCAAAAGATGCGCAAAGGTTGCCTCAGAGGGTATTGAAAATTTCAGCCCGCTACGACAAGCCGTTTAGCGTGCACTTCGAAAAAACCTCAGGGGGGGGGTTGATACAACCCCCCCCCCCCCTAGGCGTTCTAGGGTTAACTAATTTCGGGGTAGTATTTTTGTAGTTACGGAGTGGGGTAGTTTGGTATTTTACCCCAAATTGAGTTTACCGCACTTGGTGAGATTGGGCCCAATGCAAGGTGAGTCCAATGCAAAGCTGTTTATCGATAAGGACTATAGCATAGTATGATGACTGTAATGTTCCCTACAACACTTACGACGCATCGTTTAGATGTGTTCAGGAAAAAAAACTGTACTATTCGACGATTTATAGGTGTCGTCAATGCATTGAGATTTTGGCGGTTAGCCATTTATCATCAAATGTTGTTGGGATTTTCGGCGTCTCAAAGACGACACACGTTTGTCAGATGCTAGGAATGGGTATGCTGTGCCGCAGTGCTGAGAAGCGTTGCGGGTCAGTCTACCCTCCAGGTCCGGCGGCCGCTCGAGTCGTCGCCGCGCTAGCCGGATACTCCGCAGTCCGCGGTATTATTCCGCTAGCCAGCTCTTCTGCTGATACCATCACGGGGGAGGGGGTTCTCGGCTCACGGCTGTCGGGTGGAACCAGCGGCAGCTGTCCGCCTGGTTTGTCTCAGGCGGCCGCAACTTGCAGCACGTCCCGCACGTGGTTCATGTTTCAATTTTTCATTACCACGTAAAGTGTAAACTACTTCACGTTCGCTGACGTTAGCTCATTTACAGCTCAGACTACTGGTTAACTTAACTTGCATTTAAATGGTGCCGTGGCTGATTCTAAGCATTGACACTCAGATCCTTAACTGGCACTTACGCTATAGGACTGACATCTTATAAGTGTCAGTAACCTTCGAGCAAAATAAAAAGCAACGCAGATGATTTCCTCAGATGATTTCCTTCAGTTGTGGCATTTAGTTATAACAAAGGCGGCGGAACGGGGGGGGGGGGGGCACCGGGACACCGTGCCTCCCTTGATTTTGGCATTAGCCCGATGGGCGTTGCATGGAAAGAATGGGACCAAAAGTCGGCAGTGCCCCCCCCCCCCCTTAATTGCGAAGGTGGCTACTGAGTCATAAATGCGATGGATGGTTCAGCTCTGGACAGAGAATGGCGTTTGATGGCTGCCCTGATTATGACGCGTAGTACGTCACCGGCGATACGAAGTTTCATCCTTGGCTGTTGCTCAACTCCTCTCACTAGTGCTGAGCGCGCCGGTCTAGACCGTGCAGAGTCGGCAGTAGACGAGGGCCGGTCGACCGGCCGCGGCGGGTCTCTCTCTCTCTCTCTCTCTCTCTCTCTCTCTCTCTCTCTCTCTCTCTCTCTCTCTCTCTCTCTCTCTCTCTCTCTCTTTCTCTCTTTTTCTCTCTTGATTTTGAAAAAGTGCTGACAATAGTCTGTCTTTCAACTTTTCTCACTCAATGCAAAGTATTAGCTGAAAAATGGTTTAACCGCCATTAATGACAGCCACCTATGCGCTGCGTATCATGTTAATTTGCTATTTCTTTATTGCGCCAAACATACAACATCACTAAAGATAACTTGTGTAACGTCGTTGTGTCTGAAAATCTGCTGTCTAAGCTGATTGTATTGCTTGGGGCTGTTAACTATGGAAGGTTATGTGATTTATCGTGGATTAAACTGTTTGCTACAAAGAAACTAGCCATAAAGAAACATTTCATGGAGCTCACTGAATGATGCTCGTTACTATATAGTAGCTGATTAGTTGCCGCCTCCGATACTGTGCTGAAATGAAGCTATTGTGGTAATAATTACATTTTATAGTGACCTGTTATGCGACGAACTCCTATGACTTTAAAAATTTCAGTCACGTATGGGCTTTGATTGCTGTTGATAAATTACAGTTGTAGGAAAGATTTCGGAAATGTTTCGATCCAAACTAAGACGTTTCGCTGCTAAATGCTTCGAGCGCCTCTTCCCTGTATTGTTTTCAATAGAGGTGTGCTATGAAATGTTCAACTTTTCTCGTGATGGTAGTGAAGACTTAAGACAAACATACATCGCGCCTCTTGGCGTCAAATGACTCTGGATATGTGAATGCAGGTCACGTAGGGAAAACTTAGGTCATTAACATGCACATGCAAGTCAGGGAAGACGTGACACGGCAACCTGTTTTTAACATTCCCCCCTCCCAATTGTATTTATATGATGTTCAGAAAATTGTAGGCATTTAATATTTTTTCCTTTTCTCAGAATAGATAGTTTTAGTTGAGTATTTTAAACAATAATTTATAAAGCAAGACGCTAATTGTAATGCAATCGATTTGCCAGTACCATTTTCACACCCTAAGAATACACAGAAGCATTATTTGATATTTGCACCCAGCTGAAGTGCCATATTGCAGGATTGGGGTGGCACGATTCAAGCCCGAATTTGGGGCTGTCAGAAATGGCTGAAAAGTGGATGAACGAAAGGCGCTGGCAGTCGCTCGATATCCATGGAATGCTCTAACCACGGCGAACAGTGAACAGCATGGGACAGCAGTTGTCCTGCTGGGGACCGCTCAGAAACCGATCTGTGTGCCACGGTTCTGGGCTGCCGCACTCTCGATGTGGGAGGTCGGAGGTAATGGCACCGGGCTCTCCGCTTACCGGCCACACATACTCCGTCCACGGGAACTGTTTGCTCCCGTTCGCGGTACGACGTCTGACGCAACGCGATATCTGTGGTCCACACAGAATCACCTGGAACTGTCTTGAAACGGACGCTATGTTTGTCATGTGAGCCACTGGGCACCGTGATGAGCGGTGAGGTATAGATGTGTTTCTATTATAACGTTACCTACGCCAGCTTTATCATATTTCAAATCTACAAAAATAACTCCACGGTGACTATAATAACTCCTTTTTCCACGTCGTGGAAGCCAAGAATGACTTATCTTTTGAGAGAATCAGAGCTGAGTGTTCCTTTGTAACAGTAGCGAATAGAAGGTATAATCTCTGGCATTCATCATCATAAAGCAGTGCCCGCGACAGATGTATTTTATGCAGTCGCTGTCATGGCCAGAGCGCTGCGTCTGTGCAGCTCGGGCCCCGGCCGGGTCACTCTGTCACACGGGGTCACGTCCCGCGCTCCGGTCCGGCCGAAACTAAACGCCACAGACATCAGCCGCTTTATGACCCGGCTCGGCGACGGCGACCATTTCGAGGAGCTATTGGAAGCAGATATGAGTCGCAACAGCGGATAACGGCTGACAGGCAAAGCCAATCTGCCGATGACCCTGCTAGCGTAAAACTCCTTCCCAGCTTGTTTGGTCCATACGAGACATACAACGCATCAACTATGCATTTAAGCATTACCTGTTTTAACTCCCCGCTTACTGAATAAAGAGGTGCACTGCTATCACATCAGCAATAGGTATAAGAGTACTTGTTTCGGCCGTTGCAACTGGATTGTCATATGATATTTATTTATACGAAGAAGTACATTATCGTGCCGAAGCTACTCTTTGCGCTCTAGTATTAGTAAGTATTTTGTGTTTAATGTTTGATGAAAACGTTGAATCAAATGATATAAGAGAGAGAGAGAGAGAGAGAGAGAGAGAGAGAGAGAGAGAGAGAGAGAGAGAGAGAGAGAGAGAGAGAGAGAGAGAGAGAGAGAGAGAGAGAGAGAGAGAGAGAGAGAGAGAGAGAGAGAGAGAGAGAGAGAGAGAGAGAGAGAGAGAGAGAGCGAGAGCGAGAGAGAGAGAGAGAGAGAGAGAGAGAGAGAGAGAGAGAGAGAGAGAGAGAGAGAGAGAGAGAGAGACCAGTGGTGAGCTGTGAACGTTAATCGATCTCCCATAACTGCATCATCAACCGACACATGTCGCTTCCATTTCACGAGTGAACTGTTTGATAAAATACTGACGAATTCTAAACTGCACTTTAATGAATGATCCACAGCATATCATCGATAGCACCTACGACTTCCATATTAGGGCGCATTAGT